TTGATTTAATGTCTTGTCCTGTTCTTTAATATATGGTATTCTATCTAATAAAAGAAAGTAATTAGTCTCGGCTTCGCATAAATTAGCCGTTTATGCGCGTTGCCCTCATCAGTTTTTAGAATAGCCGTAAAAGAAATGACCGGTCTCAATTAGAGCCTTTCTAAACTCATATAATTATGACGCCGACAAGAAGTAACAAATTGAAATTCCCTCTAATTGCCGCATTACTCGCCAAATCGGAGCAGACCGGTCGAATAGTCGATGACGAAACGATCGGAAATAACGTTCAGTTATTGCGTTGTTGGTGTTTGACCGATTTTGACCTCGATGATTAATGAGCACCGTTACCACTTGACTCTGTTATTATTGCGTTGACTTTTGAAATGTCGAACACCTCGCGTATCCCGCAAATCGTGATTACCATGAAACCTGACCGCGTTCTTTGGAACGAATGATTTAACACATTATGGGGTACATTTCAAGAAACGTTACTTCCTCACAATCATATTCTCGGGCCTTATACATTTTCTCACGACGATGCTCCGAGAGGACACTTTTTTTCTCGGGGAAAAAAAGTCTTTAGTAATTTTTTACTCAATCGTTTTGGTGGCGTTTAAAAATGGGAGCGTGGAATCCCAAAGCTCCAGGAAGTCCATCTATGGTGGCTATTTTGATGGATTGTTTAGATTGCGTTCGACTCGTGCTGACCCGACCAGGTCCGAGAGCACCATTTACGGTGGCGGCTTAATTTCATGTTAGTAAGCGATCACTTTGTAAGTCACGAAGAAATACAATTGCACGTGTCGTAATCGTGCCTCCTATTATGGCTTATTAGTGTAGGAAAATCTTTACGTACCATATTCTTTTTTGTATTCTTCTCTTTACATCACAGCAAAGATTATTTTGACTGTGTTGATCAGAATATGCTCTGATGTGAGAACAGGTGAGATAATATTGTTGATACGTTTAATCATTTGCTTAATATTGTTTATAATATTAAATATTAATGTTTCAAAAGTCTTTCGATAGTCTCTTTAAGGAAATAAGCTTTTCATTTTACGATGTCGCTTATTCAACGTTCACTCTAACTTCGATGAAACAATCATCGGTCATTTCCTTTTTGAGTACGGAAGATTTTACGTGTCAATAACATGTTCGTGACAATTTTATGCTGAAATACGTTTAATATAACGTATTTACAAATGAAAACCTTAATTCATGGGTATTGACTAGATTCTTAAATTTTATGTTTGTATCTCATGGAATCAAGTGGCATTTGTATTTGATAACGGATATAGGGAACGATCGGATCATGAATTTATTTCAGTATTATAAGTTCAAAGAAGGTTTATTGTTAATGAAATAACACACCAAAACTTTTGTCGAGATTGAATAAATTTCTCTCATATACCTACATTACCCGTTCCTTCCACTAGTTCCCAAGCATTGTTTCCTCAAAAAAAAATGGAACAAGGTGATTTGATAAAGCTTTCGGCGGCATGTTGATCTCGTCCGCCGACCGATTTTTCTTTCGTTAGTCTTAGCGGCCTAGTAATGAACCATTTGGGTCATTGGACCTCGCCGTTTGTCGGTTGGTTCGCCGCCTCCGGTGCCATTACAATTTTTTGTCCCTATTCATGCCACCAATTTGATATACTCACTGGTTTTTGGCTATAGACTTATCTCTTTATTCTTGTTTTATAGTTTCCGTCATCTTAGTGATACACGAAAGATTACTAAATCAATCGATTGCATACCATTTTGGTTAATTATGAAACAATAATGTATGAATGAATTATAAATTTAGTGTTCATATATAAAAATATATTAATTTTTCCTACAATTCGTATGATGATTTCTTTAATTTACATTATTGTATTGTAATGTTTAAATAAAGGCTTTTTATAAAAACGATACATCAATGCTACTTACAATAGGTCGTTCGACTTTCGTATTTTTATATTCTTCACTAATCGATTATATACTGTAATGTATATCAAGGATCGATGACTTCAGCTTTGAATTCCCTTACCCTCATAATTGAGAACGTGCTCTCAATTTGAGTGTTGGCGCGTACAGACCTAACGGTCATAAGGAACATCGGCGTCGAGTGAATCATGAACAATGACTTTTGTAAAAAAAAAATTTGGGTCTCTAGTATCTTGTACCAATTAGTTTTCGTATTCAACTTTGTACATTTTGTATTCTTGCTGTTAACATAGCTTACACTAAGACTTTATTACTTACTACTGTTAGGCCTTTATTCTTTTAACGTTACATTCTCGCATTTTCGAAAACACGATTGTTCTATTTAAAAACCACAATTACACCATCATATTTTGAATGTTTTGATATATTAAAATAATTATAATGATATTTTAAATATTTTGATATATTAAAATGATTACAAATAATTTTTCAGGCGTCATGCAGTAAACTTATATTACAAGTAAACTTCCGAAACTTTTTTGTCGAAATCTTATTTTCTTGATATTTGCTAACAATTTATGTTATTTAAATCAGATCCTAAATTGTAATATGAAACAAGTACGTCAGAGCGTGTTTGCCACGGCTTCTACCTATAGATTTATAATTTTATCGAACCGTTCAGAACTATTTACACCAGCGTTATAGGTCAAGCAGGCGTTAACGCAGCCTTAAAGCGCGTCTATAAAACCATACAAGCGAATGATTATTGGCAGTGACACAGATAATCGTCAAGCCCGCATCCAACCCGTACTATGTTCATCTCGAACAAAAATAAATATTAATCCAACCATGTCTTAAATAATCCCCAACATAGAGCAAGCGCTGCATTTAGATCTTTGGGTTAAACAAATGCTACGCGTTTGTGTATACAACCACAGCTAAGTAAATTTACATTGTTTATGTGGATTTATTTGAACGCTATCAATCTTATGGGAAAGTCTTTAAAATTCCGTTGTCCTTCTCCGGCCAGTTGTGATGTTGCATTGATGGGCCGTCTCTCCTAAGAAACTTCCCCAAGCTGACACATGACCAGCTTATAGAAATCAATCTTTTTTTTTTTTTAATGAGAAAAGTTGTTGAGCGAGCAGGCGGTGATTACCTCCGCTCATGGACGTCTACAATACCTGAGGGCCTGCAGATGCGTTGACGAACCTTAAAATAAATGGACCCCGGCTACCTTACTAACCAGACGAAACGCGAAAGTATTATACTTCCACTTCACGCCGGTTTTCTGTGAGGCCGTGGTTATGTATTTCTACTACCGTTTTTTTTTTTTTGTTTACTCCGGATGAACCTGCCCGTTTGGTCCAACAGCTGAAACTGCTGTGTGGGGAGAGTGGTAGAGACCACAATTAGATCGTGTGGATAAGAACAGTAAAGAAAGAAAATATTGCAATGCAAATAAAATAGTACGCATCAGATCACTAAATACTATTTGTTATTTTAATTATCCCGTTATTGGTTTTTATGTCATAAACAACTGCGTGGATCAGAAGAATTTCATTGTAGGTCCTTTATGAGAAACCTAACACGTTTTTTTTTTTTTTTTAGAAAAATATAAACCCGTGACTCCCTCCCATACCGAGCAGAAAAGTGCTGTTTCTTTAGTAATGGAAAGTTTTTTAAATTACCTCTACTGCTTTATATTAGTAACAAGCGACAGAAACAAGCAATTGCAATCGAAGTTCTTTCTTAGCACTGGAACAGTCTCTGTCTTAAAATTGTCATATTAAATATGATAGGATATTTATTATACATATGATAAGTTATTTCGATCAACTGCGTAATATTTCATGGAAAGTTGTAATAATTCATAGTTAATTTTTCATTTTCAATAATCCACACATTTGTATAGTTTAGAAGATGACAGTTCCTTTAAAAAGTTAATTAGAGCCGAACAATGAAGTATGAAAGCATTAAACTTGACATTTCTCGGTAACAAACAAACACGTAGGCGAATAATTTATGTTTCAACTTCCAATCGGCTATTAATTTAATTTGTTTTCGATATTACTTCTCGTCAACTTTCTCCTGCCTTTGATATTTTTTTTTACCGGCAGTTTGTTTTAAATTTGTTCATCCGTTATTTATTAAATATATATATATTTACCTTAATAGTTTCATAGTAAATTGCTTGTCCTTGAGCATTTTATAGCTTTCATATCTTTTATATCTTTATTACATTATTCCTGTGTTAAATATAACTAATGTACGATTTTTTGCGTACAAAGTTTTAATGACCTACGGTATATATAGTACTTTAGTTTTTTACAAATACTGAAAGGTCCGCTCACGGAACAGTGTTATTGTTTTATGTTAGTGCTAAAGGTCTATCGTGAATAGTTCATAATTAAATATATGTAATACATGAAAATAATATTAATTTTGTATTAAATATTATAATAACATTATTATATATAATAAAAACAATGAAATATGTATTCAGTACCAGTTACTATAGTCGCTGATCCGTTTATCAATGCAGTGAATTTTATAAGATTTCTGTAATTATTTTTAATCAATAAATGACTTTGACATTTTTAGTTCAACGTATTGGTTGCCAGGTAAAAGACCAACCTGTCTGACATACTACAATTTTTGTCGGTAGCAATAATGCAAGTATAAAATGGTGCAACCTCCGAAGTTCAATTAAAGTGCAACTGTTTCGAAACTAAACCGGCCTTGTGTTTTGTTCAGTTCGCAACGTTTTCATGATTTCTTTTTCAATAAAAAAACTATATTTTTGTTCAATACTAATGAAGAATATTTGATTGTTTCAGGTACTTATAGTTCTGTATTATGCTTTCAACGAAGAAAAAATATTAAGGTGAGACCTAGTTAGTGTTGCGCACAACTCTCTTTCACGAATTTCACGAATAAAATAAACATTAATAACGTTGGCGTGGACGTTCTCCGAGGTAATTAATAAAAATTTGTACGCGTACCGCGAAATAGTGAGCGCTCAACATGATGCGATTAAAAAATTGCAAACGTTCCGTTCTCCGAGAGAAATGGGCGATAGAGACGGCGGCGCATTGTCCGTGTCCGATGGCGTCCTTAAACGCGTAGACGTTTTTTTTTTTCTCTCCACATTAGATATTTATAAAGGACAGTTCGTTACGCGTTTCCGATAGGTTTCCATTCCTTTTAGAGGATAGATTTCCGCGTCGCGCGGCAAGCCGAGCCTATTAGCCGATGCGGGCCGTGCGAAGTGGTCCGCCGAAGGTCAGCGCTCCTGCAATTAGGGCCCGTAGTGCGCGGCGTTAGAGTCACAAGTGGCGGCCGCCGCCGGAGAGAGGCGGCGGTGCAGAAGCGGTGGGGCCGAGGCGGCGGCGGGCCCGCGCCCTGTCCGCCACTCAGTTCAGTCGCAGCGGTGCACGCACACCGCACGCAGTTCTCGCGCGCGCAACGAGAAGGTAGTACACGCGGCGCACGGGCGGATCGGCTGTTGTACCGCGTTTCCGGTGCACAGCGCACAGTGCACTCCTCCGCCGGGACCTCCCCCCCCCCTCGTAGTACCCCCCCCCCCCCCTGGGTCGCGTTCGACCGGTGCATCGGTCGGGATAGCGCGCCTCTCCCCCCCAAGACACACCACTGCGCGTGCATCCGTCGGGCGAAACGAACGTTGGATACGTGTTGAACTAGTTCCCACCCTAGCGAAATACAAACAGTGTCGGAATTATATTGTACGCGCATGCGACGCCTTGTGTTATCGAATCACTATTAATATATATATATATTTGTATATGAATAATAAAACAATTGAATTAACAACGCATTCTCTCTTATGCATTGAGAATGATTATTTTAAATGTCCCTATTGATATATCTCGATACATGTAACGCATTGTCTAAATTGAAGTGCAACGGTGCTCGTTATAAAATATATTTTTATATATTTTAACTTACAATGGGTTTAAGCGCCCTACTATGAATGTTTACGTATAGCTCTGTTGTAGACGGGAGGGCCGTACGTAAGGCCGAGGATGTGTCGTCGGTCGCGGGCCATATGGCAACCGGTGGCCATATTAGGGACGCCATCAAGGCGACACTTGTTGCACTTATACGGCGTAACTGCTCCACATTACAAGTTAACATATGGGTGACGTCTTATCGTTATCTACACCCTAATTTATTCGCCTATTGGCGTTCGTTTTCCTTTAACATCGCAGCCAGAAGGTCGCTATCGTTTCCGACGCGCGTTCACGATTGTACGTACACGGTGGACGAGAACGGTAACATAACTGCATACGAGATGAGGTGGTCGGCGGTGCGCGAGTGCGTTATGCAAGCCGCGAGTGGGACGCACGGGGCGGTTCGTTGACCAGTGCGTTGTCTGCCGCCACGCCGCCGCCCACCGCGAAGGTCGCGCCCCACACGATCGCGTGGACAACCACCGCCGGCTCTACCACACCAACCCCTCAAATTCATAGTTCAACACGTATCCATTTCGAATCGTCTAACCATTTCAGGTAGAGTCGATATGTGTTCAGTGTACACGGTGCCAACAAGGGAACAATCGTGAACGGACTTGAGTTTTTTAAAAACTAAACACTAGTGGAAATTTTGATCTCAACATGGTGACTTCGAGAATACCGGCTTATTCTCTGAATTCGGAGTTCAACAGGGAGTTCAGAAGTTTCCGTATAACGAGGGCGACGCCGCGGTCCACGCTGTACGCTCCCGCCATCGTGCCAATACACGAGTATCCGAGGGTCAGCGTCCACGAGCGGCGGGAGGCGCTGAAGGCCGCCCTGGCCAAGGCATGGTCTTCGAAGAGCAGCGACAAAAGGAAACACGACACTTGGACTGTTCCAAGCGAACAGAGCAGGGCCGGAATCACAGCCGCAGACTTCGGTCTTAAATCTCAATTGAAGAACGGCGAGGAGAGCTCGCGCGTGGCACTCGTCAAACACGAATTCGAAAGTAAGGAAGCGGAAAGAGAAAAGGAGTCGAGAGTCGAAAACGGCCAACCGGCGAGCTTCAGCTATAGCCGGTCCGCGGGCAACGGAATAGACATACAGGAAACATTAAAAAAAGGCTGTGATAAAGGATTGCACGGTAACGATTTAAGCTATAGCGACTACATGGACAATGTTCCTAAATGTAAGACTAGTTTCGAGAACAGCTTCCTCAAACAAAGCCAAGAGGAGCGCTACACGAAACGCAACGGACACGAGGCGACCGCGAAGCGAGTCGACAGAGACATCAACCTGAACAGCGTCGAATACAGCAGCCTGAACGGCGAGACGTACGACTCTATGAGGTATTCGCGTACGGCGAACGGAACGGAGTCATCGGTGCAGTACAAGAGCTACGGTAAACAAGACACTGTTAAGAGCGCGGCCTCGTGCAACGGCGAGAGAAACGGACGCAGGGCTGACCAGCGGCTGACGAGCGGCCCCAGGGCCCTGGTGGAGCAGCGGCTGGCGGAGCGGCTTGAGGTGAAGGTCGCCGAGCTGCCAGCCCTATACCTCGGCGTCGACTCTTGGACGCCCAAGTCGGCCGCCTTCCAGAAAAGCATGCGCGAACACGAGTGGAGCGTATCGTATGTAGTCAACCAGTACAACACTATTTACTAACACCGGCACCGACGAGAACCGATTGTTTCTTGTTGTCGTGTCTCCCCCCCCCCCTCCCCCCCCCCCCCCCCCCCCCCCTCCCATACTCTCACAGCGTTGCATTCGGTTGCATTCGGTAGCGCCGTTAAAACTGCGAACCGCCAATAAATAGACACGAAGCAATGCATCCCGAGCTCGCGTAAAAATAGAAAAAAATCCTGTTGTCGAGCCGCCCGAGCCTCGAGTACATCGACTTCGCGCCGGGTGTCGTTCACTTTTCCATTTCGACGTTGATTGAATTTACAATTGCAATCGGAAAAGAAAATGTTTAAGTAAGAAAAAAACTCTACTATACTTACTATACTTGTATTTTTTAATTTAAGCATAAACAAATATACTAAGGTGTTTAAATAATTCACAGTTACGGCCTGAATCAGAACTCGCGCTTGGTCCATTAAATTAGTCATTATTTCGCGAGTATAATACCGTTACGAGCGGTTTTAGTAATGCGCCCCCGTTAGTAGCATGCGAAACATCGACTACTAAGACATATTACATCCTTTTAACCTGGTCGCGCATAATCGACGCGCGATTTGGCATTTGTGCAGACGCATTAATCTTGGTGCGGTACGCGCCTGACGTGTCTATAAATCCAATTATTGTCACGTCACCGTGCCTATTTTACCTGAGCTATAACGCGCGCTATGGCAGCGGCGGCTGGGCACTGGCGAGACTGGTTGTGCAACGGATTTGCACAACCAACCGTGAGTCACCCACGGAGCTTTATTCCATCCCGCAGTACATTGCTAAACGCTCATTATCGCACCGCGGCCAAGTAAACGGGCACACGCACATGAAAGCAATGGAAACACACGCCTTCCGATAAACAATAAGAAAGTTTTTAAAAACACAAGCCACGAGCGCCGCCGCCGTGTTTTGCTTTGTGTTCACGCTTATGCATATCTATAAATTCTCCCAACTTAGCAAATATCCGAGCGTTGTTGTGGGCGGTCAGCGGTCTACGGCTCAAAAGATTCGCCTCGATAGCATTTAGTGAATGTTTCAAGGTCTCGTCCCGATTTATACGCCCGTTTAGGATTTGTCAACCTGGCAACCGCTCTGACGTAATTCCAAGTTTAGTCTGTTTTTATTGTCTTTATGTGCACGATTTTGGAGTGCGCAAAACACGTCTCACTTAGACGATGTGCATAGAGAGGTATAGAGGTCGACGAAGCTTTGTCGTGGTTTAACATTTTGCACGATCGGTTCCCTTTCCGTTTTGAATTAACCGATCAAAGGATGAATTTAACATTTACAAATGGAGGATGCATGTGGTGAAAGTGATGTTCAAGACATCGTGTTACGATTAGTGACTTTCTCACAGATACGAGATATTTTCACTTCAAAAGACTGCGCGGGTTTTTGTTGATAGGAAGGCGGCGTAGACTCTAATTCAAAACTCAAATCTACAGGCGTGTAATGTTTGCTCAAATGTAACAACACTTTCGATTTCTGAGAGTTGGTCTCGCTGAATGGGAAACATTTCTATCAGAAATTTTCCATTGACACACATGGTTGTTAGAGATTATTCCGCATTTCTATTCATTTAATGTATTGAAACGTCTTTCAAAAGATCCGTCGTTCATATAATATTAAAAAATATGCTTCATTTAATTAATTGACTGAAAATATGTAGTGATTAAATAACTTTTGATAGTAACAACATTCATGTAAATACGGTTGTTAAAACTAATTTTATAATAACAAGTGATAATTTATTCAGGTGTAACGACCTTATTACAGTTGTATCCGTTAAGTTTGTATGACATTTAAATGATCGTTTATTTGAACTTTATACCCGTTCAAACAAATATAATAAAATTTATTAAATATATAGTTATTAAATTATAAGAAAAAAATACATTCCATTGTTGTTTGGCATACGTACGTATATTCATTGTAGGTGATTTACACTCACGTGAGCAAAAAAATCGACGCTTGCGGTCAAAATATTCTCGTAAAAAATCTGTTGCTCAGATTTAAATTTTAATTACAGGAGATTATAGTTTTAGCTTTAAAACGGGATGACAATGGTAAATTATGCAATAATAAATGTGATATAATTCCTCCATGGATAAGGTTTATAAACACCGATTCTGTTGTATCCACCGGGAGCAATGTTGGCCTAACGAGCTCGACTAAGCATCCAGTCCTGACGTTTGACAAATGCCAAACGCAGCGGTTGGCTAGGCCGGTCAACTTTCACCGCGCGCCGCTCCGGTCCCGGCGTTGCACGTGCGCGCTATATACCGACCGTTCGGGGCGCCTCGTCTGATGTAACAATGTCCCCGCACCACCGGATCAGATCGCTGGCGTTTCGTAACCGGGGCGGGCTGCGTGCTCTGCGTTTGCCCTGCGGTGGTTATAATTTTCAGAACGTGTTCACGCACAAAAGCACACGAAGGAAATCTATTTTGTCGTGGTGGCTACCCATTTGCAACCCTATGTTGCAAATGTCCATGGGCGGCGTTATCGCTTAACATCAGATGAACCGCCAGCTCGTTTGCTACCTTCTCACATAGAAAAATAATTTTGTGACCCGTTTTTAAGAAAGAATAATGTGGTTTATGCTAATTCACCGCTCTGGTGGTAATATGAGGCTCACTTAGGTCTGGAGTATGACTAGTTTAGCGTCTTATACAGTAGATTATTAAAGCTCATAGCCAATATGAAACAAGAGCACAGGCCAAAATCAAATCTCGCATTATCAAAATTTTACTGGTAGTTCAAATTACTTTATTTTGGTACAGAGTTAGTCATAATCCTTTATTCAATATTGAAAAAAAAACAGTCTTATATCTATACCACTCCTCAAAAGTAGTGTGATGAAACTATCCTGTTAGATATCTGATAAAGAAACATGATACAAAATAGCAATATAATAATTATTTAAAAATTACAATTTATATAAAATAATAATTATTTATGTACATTGCTATGAATAATTTGCTTATGTCTATTCATTTTGTCCGAGAGATAAAGTTTAAAATCAAGAAGGGAATCAGTCGTTAAACATAAGTTGCTTGCAGGTCATTCTTTTTCGTGTTGTTCGATTAATAGTCAGAGATAAGTATTTGAAATAATTGATTTTTTAGGGAGATGCTTCGTGAAAAATTACTACACTAGTTTTGTGTCCGTTTTATCTTAGCCCATTAATTTGTTCAAACTGTTAAGGCTATATGGGATTATTAATGCTGCTTAGTATAGAGAAGATTTTCTTCAATGTCACATTTTGTGCAATCAATTTGGTTGAATACTCGCCATTTTAAAGTCGCGCGGGAATTATTTTTTTTACATGATTTTATTAACCTCTTACCTGCTTGTTTCTATGCGTGCAGTAGAGTGTTGTGGTGGAATCTACAAATTTAATTTCCGCACTTAATATTCTTCATATACCTATTCGTCGAATATTGGGAATTTATAAACATTTGCATTAATCGTTGTAATTAAGATCTACAATACTTTGAGAATGTTAACTCATAATAATAGCCTAAATCAATGCATGTTTCCAATTTTTCATTTCATAATGTACTCATTGCTTTCTAAATGTAAAGATATTGTTTACGAACTTAAAGATCGGCGATCATTTATTTATTATTCACTAATTTAAAAATATTTAAGAAATGTGTTTGCTGTGGTTTGGCAATTTTCTTAGACCATAAAGGTCTTTGAGTGTCATCGACCCATTTAATTGTACGATTTGGGACGGTTACACTGGTTGATATAGTGCCTAGCGATCGTTCAACCGTTAAGACCTCGAGATTGGTTACAGTTTGATCTCATCGTTATTAAGCGTTGTACGAGTTGTTTATCTAACGTATACCATCCATATTAACATAGGCTGGCAAAAAAAACTTGAGTGCAGCTTGCTGTAGTAAACACAATTGTTAATGCAATCTAAATTAGCTTTGTGTTAATAATATGTCTGGTAGAGGGATAAGATGAAGTCCAGAAAAAGGTTTCTAACCATTGCCTATTTCTCTTGTTTGTCATTAACGTCTCCCATCTTGGCGGCTCCATTAGAGAGAAGTCTGCGATAAATCCTTGACCGGACTGCAAGCACCGTGCGGCAGCGCGAGAGCTTGTCTTGAGATTTCGTAAACGACCTCTGCACCGCTATCGATCGATTATGGTCATTGTACAGGCGTTCCCCGTCGACCTCTGCGCACCTCGTCGCTCGCGTAGATTTCCTTACCTGTCGCGGTGTCGCTAATTTTGCATTAGCAAAGCGTTATTAGGCCGCGTCACCTTTGTTCACTCGACCGTGCGTTGCCGTCGACAAAACATCGCCACCGCTCTTTTTTTTTTTTTTTGTATAACTGATGTCGCTTTCAGTCCTTAGACTATTAAAGCGTCGTCGAACGCAGAACCGGTGGGCTAGCCAGAATCCCCGGGTTTGAGGCCCTCGGTGGGTAGGGCCGCGCATGTACTCGTGCTCCACCACTCTGTTAACTGTGCCAACGGAAAGTAAGAATACGCTCGCAACACGGGGGATACACGCCGCGCGGTGTGGTCATATCGCTAAAGTATGATTCAATGCGTGTTGTTCGGTCTCTAAATATAAAGTACCGTTGTCCGAATACTGTATTAGCGTTGACCGTCGACCGCGTTGCAATTTAATGATTTTCCCTCATCGCGCTCTCAGTTAACTGTATTTGCACAATTGCCTTAACAAGCCGACTCGACAGCTCGTCTAAGTAAGTTCATATGCCATTCGGTCTCGGTTACAACACGTTCAAATTACCATAACAAGTTATTTTTTTATCCGAATACTATGCACGAGACAAACACAACTTGGTCTCTTCCACACATTTCAATCATCTATGTTAGGTTTCGTTTGCTATAAACGACATATTTTCACTTTTCGTATTACATAATCTAAGCAGGTTTATCATTTACTAATGTTAACTCATAAATTAGTTTCTGATAATGCCAAAGAGTAAGAAGTGGTCGTATACATCAACACCATAGCAGTCACGCAAAAGTCGAAGGTGTAGATAACGAGGGTCATAATAGAGCTCGAGGCGGAAACGATAGCCGCGTATTGCTATTAGAAAATGCTTGGTAGCCGGTTTCCATGGAATATATGCACACGTAACGTCCAATTCGAATGCTGATGACCGATCGAAAGTGAACGTTCCGCTGTTTGTCATTCGCCCCGTGTAGTTTGACGTGCGTGAATCGGCTGAACGTTGACACTGGACATGGGCCCTTGTCGCGCCACGCTCAATTGTGCGACCACTAAGGAGGCAATCAATGTGTCTGTACGTGCATTTTCAACGTTAACTCAATCACCTAATTGAAGTTTTTTTTAAATCGAGTGTACAACTCGCCCAGACTATTCAATGTTTAAGATTCACGTTTTATATAGATGAGAAAAACTTTGCCGGCCTTAGAGATGACCAGCGTGAAGTGGAAATGTATAATTATTATACTTTCGCCTTGCGTCTGGCGAGTGAGATAACTTCTTTGACGGTGGCAACGCATCTGCAACCCGTCAGGTGTTTTAAATGTATGTCGATGGTCAAATTACATCAGGTGAACCGTCTGCTCGGTGCCAATTTTTAACATAAAATGCGAGGTATCTCATCATTCTTTTTCCATACAGTACATATAAATGTTTTAACCAATTAATAAGAAATATTACATCGAGATCGTTTACCCCGTGTTTTGTCTATGGACTTTATAGGATACACACACCTTCCCTCGCTGCATTGCACCTGTCTATTGCCTAATTTTCCGGTTCGACTACCATTAGTGTCACAGAATTGGTTCGGCTTTTTTTATTTAATTTCGGTAACTACGGTTCACGGTTTTATATCTGTTTAATCGTGGCGGCTGAGGTCGTAAATAACGCTGAAAGCATTACAATTGCTAAGCAATTATGGGATTCGGCGTCAGCGATCGTAGCGTCGTTCGATTCACACGCGGGATATAGGTTTGTGTGACGAACGAATAATTATTCCAAATCTGTGTGTTTGACCATATCAAATTTATTATGTAAAATGTCCTTGCAATAGGGGATAGTGCTATTTTACAATAAGGGAAAAAAAGAGAAGATTGTTGTGTTCTTAAAAGTATTCTTTAACTAATTTTTATTTTCACCGTTATTTTTCCATCTCTCAGTAGTCAAATAAACTTTCTACTTATTTTATAATACTCGAATAGAATACGAATTAGGACCGTTATGTAATAGGCCGTTAAACTCTTCATTTACATTTGGAAATTTTACAAAGCTATAAAGAGCGTAAATTTAGAACAAGTCGATAAAGATTAAATGTCTTCATTCATTTTTGCCCTATGTTCGGTTTCATTGAGCTCCCTTTAGGAAGCGGGGTAACTATTGCAAGTGATGGTAATTTATAAAACATAGCCAACTCGGAATAAGAATACATCGGCTTAAAAGACATTTTACAAATGCCTTGAACACATTTGGAAAACCATTTTAGTCCACTCTTTTTTCAGACGACTCGATTGGCGTAGTGGGTAGTGACCCTGTCTCTTGCTCCGGGGGTGGGGTTCGATCCCCACTACTCGAAAAATATTGTGTGATTAATATAGTGTGTTCCAGTGTCTGGGTGTTTATAAATTTATAATATGTATCTATTTATAAAAGAAAATTATGTTTAAGTATGGATCAGTTACCCATAGTACAAGTTAAGGACTACAAATCTTTGCGTAAAAAATTATTCTGAAATATTTAAAATACCTGTTTATTTAGGCTTCCTTTCAATAAGTTTAGTTTGGTTCGACGATAAAAGAATTTTCAACGTTCAAAATGTAATTAACAGAGTGAGGTGCATAAAGGTTAAACACCTATGATGTGTGTGATTTATACTTGTGAAATAGAACGTATCACATATCGCGCGAAGAATGTGCGAAGGTCTACCGGCGACATGTTTCAAGTTCAACTTGTCGTCAGCTGGCGCTAAACAATGTGACATAACGCCTAGTGTAACGGGGCCGCCCTCGCAAAATGCCTTTTACGCGATAGGTTTTTTGAAAGATAAATCTGATGCTGTTCTGATAAATCGTACCGAGCAAGAATTTGGTTTTTACTATTCAAAATTCTAATCATACCGCCAGAGAAGCTGGAAGCGTTGATAAGTTTATACTGCGCGCTTTACAGTTTATTTTGTGTGCCATGTTATGTAGTATTATGTGTTCGTTTATGAATAATCAATGCTCGATTTTGAATAGCGAAAGTATGGAAGAGAGTGGAAGGACGGTAAGGATGATGAAAATGACATCATGATCCTCGTTTCGGTTTATTTTTTAATGTGAAAAGTAACAAACGATCAGACGGTTCACCTGTTGGTAAGTGAATGCCGCCGCTCATGGACATCTGCTACACCCGAGGGTTACAGATGCATTGACAACCTTTTGAAAATTGGGCTCCGGCTACCTCACTCACCAGACGAAACGTGAAAGTATTTGTCATACTTCCACTTTACGCTGGTCTTCTGTGAGGTCGTGCTACTTACCCGGACGGGCCTGCCCATTCTTGCAACAGCCGAGGCTACTGCGTTTCCCTACCACCGTAAACTATCGTGACTAACAAACTTCGGTGACTAACAAATGTCACATCAATGCAAAACTTATTGTAGAACGTGTTTATCTTAATGGCAGAATAGATTTATCACAACCAAATTCTTCATATATTAGTGTTAAAAGGATTTAAAAAAAGAATAATAACGATACGGTATGTTTGTAAAACATTTTATGTCGGAAAAAAAATTGATATTGCAAAGTATAAAAGTAACAGCCTATAAATGTCCCACTGCTGGGCAAAGGCCTCCTCTGTAAAGAGGGTATCAGGGCATAGTCCACTGCGGATTGGCGCACTTCACATGTTTTCGAAATATTTTTTTTTTATTATTATTTCGAAAATATGCAGGTTTCCTCACGATGTTTTCCTTCACCGCCGAGCACGTGATAATTTGCAAAGTTTACTAAGCATTTTAAAGTAAAATCAAGTTTAACCACACTTTCTTAGGTAAAAAGTTGTTTACTTGAAGTTGCAACGCAATTACGACACAAGGCCATGAAGACAATGAATTTTTATAAAACTCAACAAAATCATTAGATAGGTCCTCCCCATCTAAGACTAATTCAATTTTAATTTTTCTGTAATGCATTTACTCCGCCTAATCAAGGTTGTTTAAAAAGTAAAATACAAATCGATCTCTTTTTTTTTCTCAATAAACGACTATAAGGTTTGACGCGGAGAGGTGTCGAGCGTTCCGCCGCCAGGCTGCTACGGCGGCTGTTTTGAAATGTATATTAGATCGTGCACGTACTTCAGCAAGTTAAGTATCATGTGCGCGCGGCCGTTTATCTGGCAGTCCGTCCGCGGCCGCAACACGCGACGCACCAACTAGCTGTTGTTCCGTCGCGACCTTACTGCCGCGCTCGCGCGTCCGATGGACCAGGCCGTCGCCGAACACGCCGTGAACCTTGAACGTCCGCGATGATCTTGCGACTAGCGTCTATCGCCGTTGCGCTGTGCGAAAACTCCATAGATCGCTCCGCTGACATTGCTCGCGTCACGAAGCTGATTGATACGATGATAAACTACAGTGAGTTGCGCGAAGTAGGTAGTGTTTATTATGTTGTAACGTCCGGCGTTCGCTTTGGATTGACGCTAATACTGGTTTAGGACATTATCAAAAACGTAGGGACGGGGCGGCGGCGCTGGGCCGCCGTGGGTGCTCTGCTGCACGCTTGTTGCGTCCCGTCGCCCGATACTCTGCACCAATTGGTGGACCCACATACCGGTTGCGGAGAACGTTCGCCAACGTTAGTAGACGTAAATTATCACCCCTCGGACACATAAGTCTCATCTTGATATCGTACAAACGCAAAAATTACCAATTCCCCCCTGCTCACTAACCCTACAGCCTGCCGGTCGCAAATTTCACAGCTCGGAGCACTCGTGGAGGCGGAGAAATGAGCGTTCCAAACGATCACATCATCGGCGTTCACCCACATCGCACAGACGGAGGAGACACCACCGCGAGGAATCGTCACCGCGGTCGCCACCAGAACAGGTGAGTCCTACCGTTGCCCGTTTTTTCTGTAATTTTGGTGTAGTTTTGAGAGACGAATAAAAGGATGAATGAATCTTGTAACCCAACGCTCGTGATCGTCGTAAACGTGTCCACCCGAAAACAAGATCGCTATACAACTCGCGCGGGGACCGTGAACGTGCCATTCGCGAGCGTGGTCCGGAACCAGAATAATGCGTAACGTCACTGCGCCCGTTTGGGCGTGCACGCCGGACGGGTTTGGCACGCGGGTGCGCGCGCGCATGCGCCACCCGCCTAGCGAAGAAGCGCGCCGAGAGACGGCGACCTCCTCGCGCTCGCGGCCCGTTCTATTTGCGTTCGCCACCGTCACACGGTCCGCCCTCAGTCAGTCGCAAGGCTCGGCCGGCCGCCGTACGCGCGTCCGCCGCCGCCACCGCCGCCGCCGCCGCCGTGGTCCCACTCCGTCGCATACGGCGGGCGGCCCCGTGCGCGCCATGGCTGCCCAGCCGACGCGTCCGCCCCCCGACAACCTGCTGTTCCGCGGACCCCCGCCCACCCTGCCCCGCGTCCTCCTCGTGCCCAACGACCACCCGTCTGCCGCCACCAAAGGCTGCACCGTACTCAGCGCAGCGGACGACGCGGACGCCCTGCGGGAAATAAACAATGTTGGCGTGCCCACCTATGGGGAGCCGTACGACACGGCTCAGCGACAGAACGACGCGTTCGAGAACGATCCCAAAGCGGAACAACAACCGGCGTTCGGCAGTTTGTTGCGCAGGAGCCACAGTTTTGATATCTCTTATATTTACAGTAGTAAGTGTGATGATGAATTAGTGGCCATAGCGTATAGGCAGAGGCGGTCCGAGCCGGACCTGTCGAAGTATGGACTTTTTGTGGAAGCCGATGTTGCAATGCAATGCGAGCCGATGGCACCCGCATCGCTTGTGCTAAACAATCCCTTTTACGATGGTTCTTTCGCATTGGATCCTGCTTTATTGGATCGATCGATAGTCGCGTTACCTGACAATTACTTGGCTTTCGAAGACTCATTCGTGCCAACGTGGGACTATAAGCCAGAATTTCTCAACAATACAGACTTGAATCCGGAATTGTACTATGAAACGTTACCTATTGTTCCATCAAACGACCCTTGGTCTGTGTACGAACATAATAATTCAAATTTTGGCTACTACGCACCGCAGTTAGAAGTACCGACAGAAGATGGTATCCAATATATGCGTTTGAGTGAATTGGAATTTGCCTTGCCGCAATACATGAGTTTGCCAACAGTACTAACAATAGACCCCTTAAACAACCAGACAAAGGAACATAATGATTTACAAGCGGAAAAGGAAACAAATAATAATGTTGTTTCTGACAACGTAAGTGTAAAACAAGAAGTTGCGTCAAGTGCAAATAAGAAGGAGCCACTGTCGCCGTCTACTGCTGGCATAACACCGACGAATGAACAAAATAGCAACGAAGTACCTACAAACAGAGATTCTTCACGCAGCGCAGAGTCATTAAATGCCGACGTTTCCAATGACGTCACTTCGAGTTTAGCATTCATCCCCAGCAGCAAAAGCTCGCAGATACTCAGCGCCCGAGACGACACGAGCGATGACACATCGCCGTGTTCCACAGACTACCAAGAGGCATCCGCCCTCGACTTAACGCAGAGCCTCGGCGAACTCTCCAGTTGCGTTGATAGCACTGAATTTTCTCAAAGCAGGGACGACGTTTCACCAGCACCCGCGGAGGCAACCACGAAATTCGCGTCAAGCGAAATCAAAAAGAAAGACGACGAATGCAATGGCCCGCTTGTACCGTCTTCTGAGATAGCCGTGGCTAAAATGCCACTCCGCCAATTACCCTCCATCCCGCACCGAGACGACCAGCCAACGAAACTGCCACCGGTACCGGAAAATCCGCCATCCACGGACTCCGTAGTCGACAAGCCGAAAACCGCACTAGCCCACAACCAACCGGTAGACGCGAAAACTGTAGTAAATATAGCCGATAAGGCGCCCCCGAAACCTGGCTGCAATCAGTCGGTAGCGATATGTAGTAGTAAAGTTAAAGGTGCGAACGTACGACGAAACCTCCCCACACCGCCGTCCGTGCCACCGGCCTGGCTCTCAAACGCGCCGACCGGTGACCGCGCTGATAATGTACAGAAAAATGTGCCTCAAATCTGCATTCAGAGAGCGGAGGGCCAGACGAGGGGCGCGGACAAGAGCCCGAAGGCAACGCAGCAAGCGCCCGCGAAAGGATGCGCCCCAGGAGCCGCCGCCACTGAGCCACAGCCGTCCTGCTCATTTGCACCACCGCCACAACCCCCACACAATTCACAGCTGAAACCCGACAAACAACCCAAAGAAGTCGAGGTCAGCCAACATTTTTCAATTCTACGGCCGCACAGCCACTAAAGAGATCCTTTTAACAATCGGAACACTTGAAATTGTATTTGAGCATTCTTCATAATTAGATATCTGAACTTAATAAAATCGGCGACTGCGCAATGCGCCGCCAGCCAATACATTGAGAGCGTTGCGCATCTATTTTAACATAAATTTTAGGTCAGGGATTCATTCATAATGTTATACTTTTAACTTTGGTTTTGCATTGCAATTAAATGGCACGCGAGGTTCAAAGTTTCCGTTTCTCAGACATCTCTATTTATTTTTATTTTTGTATGTTGTGTATTTAACCTGCATGCTAAGTTGACTGTTTGTTTGTTCCAATAACAGCGACGCCAATTAATCGATAGATTTCCTTCCTGTACATGAACAATATTTGACTAATAATTACTGTTTATTCAACCCAATAGCACCATTACGTGTTTCACTATCGCTTTTATAATAAACGCATATACAGTAATTATGTGCCTACAGCTGATAAACAATTTCGAATGAATAACTGACGGAAATAGTTACCACAGCTGGCGCGATGTATGCGTTAATTCGGTGTATGGCGGCGGTCGCTAGATGGCGCCACGTGCGCTGGAAACACGGACAACGCATGCGCACAGAAATAGACAAGATCACCTTCACCTAGGCGCGCACAACCGTTGGCCAACTCCTAGACATGATAACTGACGATGTCGTTGCCGAAAAGCAAAGATTCCGACATTGTAATGTTCAATCGAACCCACTCTTTGTTGCAAATTATAGTAGTACATAAATCAATTGCTTTGCTGCGAAATATCCTCAAATTTTATTATACAATAAAGATATGTACCCTTTTGCCTCTATCTTCATGGCAGATAATTAGAAACCGAGAATAGCTAACGGGGGAAAAACATTACCAATACATGCAGTGCTGCTGTAGACATAACTCTTTCCAATAGCGTTAGAAATATTAGAGAACAGTGTCATTTTGTTGACGAATAAAACTGTTGTCATAAAAACAAACATTGTTCCGTGAACGATGAGCATTTATTACGAGCATACAATGTAATGGAAGCACCAATAGTGTTGTAGGCACGCTCACACATTTGCCTAATAGTTACTACTCATTGCGCGTTGGTCACTTCAATTGAATCGAATTGTTCCCGAGCGATACGAAATTTTTAAATTGGATCTCGTTTCAACCAGCTACGTTTGGATATGTTTGTGTTGCGAAACGTTGGCACATATCACCACTTAAAAAATTTAAAATTTTCTTTAAACCTTAACCACCATGTTGCATATTTTATCCTTCGGTAAAAGATGTCCGTGTACGAAAGTATTTACCCACCAAGGTATTTATATTTATCTTTAAAAAAATAAACTATTTCCTTACGTCCGAGGCTATCATGCAAGGTCTTTAACACTAAATTAACATTTTAACGCTCATTTACTTTTTGTCGTTTTCCGAAAGCTGTTTGAAATTCATTGTTAAGGCGCATTTACACGGTGCAAGTTTCTTGCCTGTTATATACAATTAAATTGAAGCAATAAATGAGTTGCATGGTCTAAACAACTAATGGTCTAAACAACTATTGCGCGCAATTTATTGCATTCAATTATTGCTCTTGTATGTTCAAGAAAACGGCATCATGTAAATGGGCCTTTACTCATACCCAATGAACAACCGATGATAAAATAAAGGAACCCACAATAAATGGTAACATACCAAATCTATGATTCACTCTTTGGCTCCGAAAAGCATCCTAGTAATAACAAGGTCATTAGGGCACTCATCTGACGAAATGTACCCAATGAGCGTAAATCAGCATCATAATAGGATTGCATCCTGTTATTGAGTACATATGTATTTTTCTCATTTGTTAAAATTATTTCTTGGAACGAAATAGTTTTATTTTCTTCACGATCATCATCATCCTTCTTGAGTCCACTGCTGAACATAGGTCTTCCCTTTTTAGTTTCTTTTAAATTTTCAATTAGGATAAATATAATCCTCTTATTTTAATACCCGACTGAGTTTAATACCCATTTAGTGGTTTGTACGCAGTTTTATCTGTTTCCGATTACAGTGCGGTGGTAAAACCGATTTCAATTTATACCCTAGTATTAAATATATTTACCGCATAGTAAATGGAAACTCCGGAATGTAACAATAACTCTCAGATTTACTTTTTTTATTTACTTTTTGTTCCTTCGTTATTTTAAATTTATTTCACAATACCGTTTCGAATATCTATTACACTGACCACCCAGAAGTAGGTGTCCGTTCCTAAGGTCATTTTAGCAATTGACCGTGTATAATGGTACCTACTATTTAAAGTGTTCATTGGTCATCGATATAATATGGTCACGTGTTCGCAGATTGTTTACTTATAACGCGCCCAGGATAACGATTTTTTTAACGGATTTCGTAATCTGATTCAGAAAAATCTTTGAGTATTCGGACGAAACGCCTAAGCAATGAAATAAAAAAATGATGACGAAAAGTGAATACACTAACACCACAAGCCCATTAGCGTTGCACAAAAAACAGACCTTTATATTGACAATCAAAAAAAAGGATACTCGACTCATTAACTGGACTGTTTTGGCCTATTAGTTAAGGTCCTCTTCTCCTGAACTGAGGGTATGGGTTCGAAATCCAAACAGCTCGCATTTGCGTCTTTTGTTAATTCAATATGATCTGCGTTTAGTTTTAGGGAAACGTGTTATTGAGTGCAAATAATGCACCTCGTACGACAAAAGCGTGTCACAAATTGTTTCCCACAATAAAGCCAATCATATCTTCCATCACATAATAAAAAATAACACTGAGTGGAAGTGATAAGTCAGGGGTCAAGTTCAGGCGATAGTGCAGAAATCGCATATCGTTAATCCACAAAGCGGCTCGGTCGGCTGTCGAGATATGGTCTGACTAATGCGCCAGAGTCCAAAGCTTTTGCGGCTCACCTGTGTTTCGGTGTTCCGCCGGAGACCTTGTTGTAATGCGTCAAGCGAATCGATAAGTTTCTATCTTTTTTTTATATAACTAGCGACTCGCCCCGGCTTCACGTGGGTGCAATGTATTATACATAAATAAACCTTCCTCCTGAATCACTAGTAAAAAAAACCCGCATCAAGATCTATTGCGTAGTTTTATAGATCTAATCGCATACACAGGGACAGACAGACAGCGGAACAATTTTGTTTTATACTATGTAGTGATAAAACGATTTTTCCACCGTTTTCATGACTCGGTGACGCCGCTGGAGAGCTACTGAATTCCAACAAGGGACAAGTATTTGTTTGACCCATAGATTATTGTTCCGGATCTGTTTCCGATTTGTGTGCACCAGACCTAGGCGTAATAATGGCAGGAGGCTGATTGTGTTGAAAAGGGATTTTTTACACCGCAGTCTTAGTCATTATCTTAGCTGTTTGTATTATATCCTTTTTTGGATCTGAATGCGTATTTTATTTAATTATTTTGAAATTGTTCCGACTAGTAGGCTCGGTTACTGTCTGATCTAATTTCGAATCTAATTTAGGCGAGTATATCTATCTATAAGAATATATCTTCTAGCTTTGCTTGTCTTTTGGACATACACTTTGTTTTCGTAATGTGTGCTAATTCGTTACGTTTCTTGTGAAAACAGGAAGCATTTAAAATCTGTCTCATTTGAAATGAGAGATAAAACTTAATACTATATTAACTTATAAGGCACAACCTTTAGGCTGCTCTTAACTTTTGTGCATACGTTATTTAGAACATCCTTAATCAAATGATCACGAGCTTTAGAATCGATATGCATAAGGTCGACATTCTGAAATTAAATTCTTATCTGTTACTATGCTAGTAAATTTTTGTAATACGTTGAAAGCACATACTATTAATATGACCATGCCGGTTCTTGATATCAGTAACATGATACGTTGATTTCTCAATGCGGATGTTACTGTTTAGAAAAAGTATATTATTTATTGGTTTATTATTTCAACAACCTGCCTGCCTGGTTAAGCAATATTAGTATACATGTGTACAATGTTACGGCCCTGGCCTCGGCTGCGATACTTGTAAAAATGAATGCGTATTTTAATCGTATCAAAGCTGTAGTAACTTACGTATATTAAATACGTATATTTAAGCAATATCGCCAGGGCTTTACGCCAAATTATCAAAATCTGAATATCCATAATTCATTTATTGTGTATATTTTTCGTAATAATTCCTAAAAAAAAAAAAAACATACGCATAGTTCCTTAACACGTGTCGCAAACATCTTACGAGTTTAACGCGGATAAATCCTGTTACAACTGAAGCTTCCCATTAAAACGCTCCGCGTCGTTCGCTCATCGCAGTCTTTTAATTGGTATTTGTCACGACAATCGTTCTCTCAGTTTAAGTTTAGGAGCGGACCAACGTAAACGTAACCCGAAGGCGATAACTTTTTCCTCCCACGTCGGAGTGGTGTGTGTGTGTGTGTGTGTTTTAAATAATAATCGGCGCTGCAACGTTACGAGAAACAATAACCTCCCCCTTTTGAAGTCGGTTAAAAACAAAACGCGACGATACCGTGTGCCCACAGTCTGTTGCGATACACAGTCGCGTAGTAGGCGCTGTGTCGGCAAGCCGCCCCTGTGGTTGGTGATTTTGAAGGCAGCTCTAAGTGGGTGCAAGGAACTATGACCGAACTCGCCGTCAGAGCGGATCGCGCCCGCGTCCCACTGCGGCTGTCGTCATTCTACGAGCTTTACAAGAAATTCCTCAAGGGCCAAGGGTGCAAGTGGCACGACGTCGCGAAACTACTGAACGTACTCGCCGAAGTACTTTTCGATGTTGACGGCGCTTTTACTCGCATCGCGGGCAAGGTCAGCGCGCTGGGGTAGCTTTTATTTTTTTTTTAACTCTTAAACTACGCCAACGTTATTTCTCGGCAATTCCACGTATGCACACTCGGTTAGAATGCCGGGCAGCTTTGCGTTTCGCTCGCGAACGCCGAATACATTTTATCGAGCATAATTCTCCTACCGAAGCTCGAATGAAAGAAAAAAAAGTTGTAAGACCGACTTTACCCTAACGGTATTAAACGGGGTCCACGGACCAATGGCGCGACGGTGAATTTTACCTGCACACCCCATGTCAATTTAGTGATCTCGACGTTTCCGAACAGCTGATAGTGTGCCGCATGTAGTGTGGATTTTGTGGTGTTACAATGTTAACATACGCGTTCCTAATAAATTCGTATTTAATGTAGAAAATCGTAATCGCTATTGGTATTTAGACTGCCGTTTTATAACTAAAAAAAATGAAACTATTTCACGTGTTAAAAGTGGCCAAGGAAGTTGTGAATTTTTTCACACTAACTTTGATAGATGACCGCGGTCTGCCCGAGGTAAAGTTAGCTTCGTTCGACGAACTATAAACGAACTAAATTTGTGAGCCGTGTTGCAAAATATGTGCATTCAATGCTTGAACGTTCCTTTTCTGTACATTTCAGCTCTATTACATAAGACATGGATTTTATAGAAGAGCGGGAATTTTGATGTTGGCCCATTTAATAATACATTGTTCGTGAAACTTATTTGAAATGCATGTGAATATTGCTACATTGTCAGTGAGTAACGACGATACAGCGCCGGGAGTGAATGATATTGTAACAACCGTTTCCGTTTCATTTCGACGAACATTCGTACGTCTGCAGTTGTATCGACGCCGCGATGTTTCATTGCAACTCGAACAACACAATCCTATACGCCGAAATAGACATCTAAACGAGTTCAAGATTGCTCACCAGACGATGGGGCTGCCGACCGAGATAAGAACGAAATTATGTTTTAAATTAATTTGTTTACATTACGATAAGCGCCACGAAGAGAATACGTGATTTAAGCGGTTTTTATGCCCGCACCCGTCAATAACTATCGTGCATAGATAAGAATAGTTGTTCTATTATTGATTACGCTAGATCTACGATGATTAGCACTTGACCTGGCGGTGAACGATAGAGAATGTGGAGACGGTTATAATGATTACTCATTACGTGTGCATTGTGGTTTATGTTGGTACGCACGTACAACACATCGGTACATTGTTCACCCACTGACCCAATTACCGAGCGCGCATTGACAGAACCGTCTTGGCGCTCTAGCTCACCGTTCGGAGAAAGGTATCTCTGCACGCATCACCGGCTATCGCTAACAGCCACACTACAAGCACAGCCGTCGGGCAAACACAGGATGGAACGGAATACCGAACGGCATTGTCATCGCAAAACTGTCAGTGCACAGTTACTCGTCTTGTCGCTGTACAGACAATGTGAAAAGAATAGCGCGAAAGTCGCACGGGAAACCCATCTTATACGCTCAACAGATAAGCGCCACGTTTTACATAGCAAGGTGTTACGAAAACAACGAGGGTTATTTTAACGTTTGCGTCAAATAATCACGATCGTCGAAAATTTGAATTGACAATAGAGTCAACTGATGTATTGCATTCTTGTAGCTTCAATTTATGGCAACAAGAATGTGCTTTGCGCGAATGTTTGCTAATAATCTTTACGTGTATATTAAGGCGCGTTAAATTAAATTAGTATAGCTGGTAATGCGACGAAATGCGCGCGCGGCGGCACCTCGGAGTGCGCGGGAGGGCGCTCCCACGGGTTGCCGATATTTTTAGTCCGCGACCATTACTTGGCACCGACGGCCGCACTCGGCTGCGCCAGTGATCTCTCTGAAATCCGTCCGCTCTTAGGTGCGCTCCCGTTCTAGGGTGGGCCCAATCTAATAATCGCCAGCGCACCGTACGCCCCCCCACCGAACGATTGCGATTGCCGTTGCGACGATAACATGAGACTGTTGTTCCCCGTGGTGAAATTATGACGTTTCAAAACTGTTATGTGATATGCCCCGGTTAAAGTGATCTAGTGTTGTTCGTCCCGAAAGAGCCATGGCTAGCATCGGCACCGGCGGTAGCGGCACTAGCACCAGCCCGCGACGTCAGCGGTACGGCCGTTCTTCGACCTCGAGCGTGACTCAGCTGCTGTCGGACGGCTATTCTAGCATCATCAGCCGGCTGACGAGGCGCGGGCCCTCCGAGAAAAGTGACGCCGGCGTTGATTCTAAATTGACCGCCGCCCGAAGCCGATATGACGACAAATTACTGGCAAACAAAAACCCGACACTATCTAATGTGCGGCGTTACGATAACAGCAGACGCGTATCGCCGTACTCGTCTCTCGCATCCGGATTGTCCCTGTCGACGAGGAAGTTAAACGACGAACGGGCATACTCGAGCTACCTGGCTGCGACCAAGCCCCGGATCGATACATCACCGCTGCATTCAACCTCCGGTATTAGCGCTCTCAGCCGCAGTGACTCATTTCGCAGGGCGCACATGAAGGACAATCAATCTTCGCCGTTCACCAAACGATACCCACTAAAGGAAGCTAATAACAATAATATAGACAGTGCGCTTGCGCTTGGCAGCACCCGCAGCCGCTTAGAGGATAAATATTCCTCGGTATTAGATAAAATCGCCACACAGAAAAAGGAAAGAGCTCGAAAAGAAAAGGAGGATCGTGATAAGACCTTAGAGCCGGAACCGGTTGTCCCACGGGGCTTGATGAGAAGCCTAACGACCGCCGTGTTTGGAGAAAATTCGTTCAAAAGAAACCTCTATTCCCGCGAAAAAACCAGGGACAAAACACCATTCAGAAACACGACCGACCGCCGCCTATCGTCCGGACACAAATACGCCGAAAAGAACGACTGCAAGAACGGTTTTGACGCGACCACGAAGGACCGCTCGAACTTTGGCAAAGATAGAGACAGTGTTTACCGTCGACATCAAAGAAGATCGCTCCGTGCCGAAAAGAGCGACGAGAGGAAAGGTGGCAAACTCTCGCTCCGTCCGGTCGACATAAACATACAGCCGGCGGCACGCGATCTGATCTCGCCGCCGCAGCAAACCTTCGGCGCGGACGCGAAGCCCCAAGTGACGCGGACACCGGCCTCGTCGCCTGCCAGGGAGGCGGGCAGGCAGAGGCAGATCTACTTCCCGTCGAGCGACGAGGACGACGACAAGACCCCGGTGGGGGATCGAGTGTTGACCGAACGCGAGACCAGGCGCAAGGAGATCCAGAGTCTAATCATGAAGTACGCCCACCTGGACGAGGTGTACGGCCGCATAGCTGACAGGGAACCGAACGGCGTCGTCGCCAACGCCCCGCACGCGATCCGCAAACCCGAACCGCTCGGTGTGGGCGACGTGGTGGCCCTCCCGCCTGAGCTACGGGCCCGCCACAGGCCCCAGCGGCCGAGGCACCACATGCGGCGAGCGGCGACGCCGCCCGTAAGCACAAGCTAACCGCCTGCGACTCTGTGTGCCGCTAACAAACACCCGGTCCGTGCTTTTCGATATACGCTAATGAATGATTTAAACCGACAAGAATAAAATTAACGTGTAACTAGATCGAAAAGAAAGATACTCATTTATACATTCGTATTTGACTCTTTCGATAGAAGAACCACCATTGAATGCATGTATTTTTCAACGTAACGGACGGTAGATTGAAAAACTTTATCAAGCTAAATTTCAAAATGAATTCGACGGTACTCGTGAAAACTGTGCATAGAAGATTACGTACCTACTAACAGTGTTTTGACATTCGTTGTAGGGATAGGACAAAATAAATTTCGGTGCGATGATAGTGCATGTGATAAGCTTATTTGTGCGTGTTGTACAGTCTAACATGTCCCTATTTTGCATTAAGATATTCACGAACGCCGATCGTAAACGGAGAAATTCGAACAGTTTCACAACTTCGGGCGTTAGTATATGTTTATGCTCATGAATATTGCCGACGTTCGATTGAATAGTGTAATGGGCTCGGGTGGACACTGAACGAATCCCCGTTGGTGTGTGCTTTGATCGAGATTGTGCGTGCGCGACGAATGTATGGCGTCGTGTTGAACCGCGATGAGTTGTTCCACCGCAGGCTGGCGCGACCACATCGCAGCGCCCACCCGTACGCCCCCTCCCCTAACAGCATGTACGGCACACATACAATTGTCGCTTGTCTGACGGGCAACCGTTCCATTGTCTGATTGTTGGGTACAACACAACTCGGGTCCGTGGCGATCGCGTGGCGCTCTCCGCACACTCCGTGGCATGTGGCGTGTGGCGTTTGGCGTGTGTGGTGCGGGTGCGGGCGTGGCGCGCGCGGCGGCGCTGTCTCGGTGGTGGCTGCGGCGGTGGCGGTGGCGGTGGCGGCCCCGTGCAGAGCTCCCGAGCCCGCTCCTCCGTCAAGGACGACAAGGACGGACACCTGGTGTACTGGCCCGGATATGTCATGGGAGCGAGATGTTCGTGTCCACAGCATAACTTTACCCACAGACACACGCACACACAGACACACACACGCATATACAAACACACGCATATACAAACACCTACACATCTTAAACACCACCAATACAGTAAGGCACACACACCACCAAACATCCCTAACACCTACACAGTTTACTACTGTCTAACAACTCAATTGACACACACTGGTCGCCATTCACTGGACGCCTAACAATCGACAGATAACCCAAGTGTAACTTCCCCAGTACATTGAAGCCCGATGCAGATCAGTGATTCGTGTTCTGTGAAGATTTATTTTATACTTTCTCTGCTTTTTAGTTTGTTCATTTTTTTATATCTTTATACTTATACATATGTAAGTTGTCTTGACACTCGATCGATGGCCGGTTTAACAACAATTGTAACGTCTAAAATGAGTTTTTTAATGAAAATTTTGTGAATTTCTAGCATAACTTAAGAAGTACCCTTGTCTCTTTGAAAACATATCTATCTGGACGCGATTATTTTTCCACAGTCAACGATCACCTCATGATGGAAATGTTTAATACATTCAGTTCCATCGGAGCGAATGTTTTGAGCTCAGTTGATTAATTGTGTGCATGGTTGCTTTCAGATAAGATCATCGACACGCTTGGTGAGGGCACGTTCGGGAAGGTGGTGGAGGTGAAGGACTTGGAGATGTGAGTTTACGACTTTGTATGCCGTTTTTACTTTTTTGAGTCTGCGCGATTGATTTCATAAATCGTGTTATTCGTTTGCTGACGTTACCCCACGAGAGATCTGTCTTTTTTGCCATATCTTAATACAACATTTACAGTATCATCATCATGTCTGCTTGAGTCCACTGCTGAACATAGCCCTCCCCCACAGACTGCTACAAAGCACAGTTACATAATAGTTGATAAAAATTCATAAATATGTAGTATTAAATGACTTGAACAACTTTATTCAAATTTCGTGTTATTTTTACAATATTTATTATCAACGATACATGACTTTTGTTTTTAGTAAATAAATTAATAACTTTGTGAAAGTTTTTGTCTTTCTTAGATTTTCAGATAATTAGGGTCATTTAAAAACGAACGGTACTGATTCCTGGGAGGAAATCGGTTCTGTTTCCTCGTTGTGAATAATTTAGTTCATACTCACACAGCAGTTTGCGACACACATTGTTTTGGCAGAGCGTGCACACTCTGATTATTCAAGCTCTATTTTCATTTGTTTACATTAGCTCGTCTACCTTCAGTGACTATTGCTAGCGGATTCCATTCTTTATTTAAGGTCTGACGTTTGTTATATTTCTCTTTTAGTCAATGTAATGTTTTTAATTCGTTACATGAACTATAGATAGACGGCATCTGTCCAGTATCGGCATGTATAATTTTAGAGTTTTATTAATATGATTAATTTTTTCTCTTTCCAGGGAGCACAGAATGGCTCTGAAAATAATAAAAAACGTTGAAAAATACAGAGAGGCTGCAAAACTAGAGATAAACGTATTAGAGAAGCTGGCTGAAGTTGACCCGGACTGTAAACAGTAAGTAGTTTGCCCAGTGCCGTTTACTCGCACCGTCATTGGATCCAAATCAACAGTGACGACGTAAAGGACATATAGAATCCCCTAGTGATGTAATCTCATTGAAGAAAAGTCTTCAGCTTGCCCAATGAACAACACATAAAATGGCTTAAGCCTTTTGATACATTGTATTCCGTACAACTGTAGGCGAAGACATCGTCCTATAAAGTTTTGGCGCGCGAGGCATTGTCATCTGTCCGTTGAGCGACGCCCGCGAATGTAGCGGAGCGATATGTGACCTTGCGAGCAAAAGAGCGGACCGTCCCGGACGCCTGGCTCGATGCCAGCCAGCTCCCCCCCTCCAAACCCCCCCCCCCCCCCCCCCCCCCCCCCCCACACACACCTCAACAACCCCTCCCCTCTCCCCGCCGTTCGATGTCAACCGAAACGCGAAAATACCTTTCCCCGTCCCGGTACGAATTATTTTATAACGCAACGCGCGCCAGTCTCTTCCGACACGCGTGCCGCGACCTTGATCGGGAAGACGTTGAACGTAACTCCGACTACGAAAGAGACCGGGCCGGCTATTTGCGTAGCTCTATGGACTTTGCGTGTACCGGATGGCGATGCGATCGTCGCTGTGGTGTCGTAAAGTTTGAAAAACAATGAATGGTCTCGCATATGCCTGAAAAAAAGTCAAAGATCTATTCCTCGGGTGGTTTGAAAGTAGTTCCGCACAAAAGTATTCTAATGAATATGATATGACTCTATAAATATCAACAAAGTTATACCAATTAAAAAAGAAATGCTCAGTTCGCCTCGAAATAGTTGATTACAGTTAATACTTCTGAGAAAATCCTTTCTTGTTATGAGGATTCTTTAAAGAAAAAGTTACTTGGCCTACCTGCATTCCCGGCTGTCGCCATATATAATTGCGTGAATATTATTTCATTCAAATTTTCAGTTTTCTTTTCATGTTTGTCTTGAGAACACAATAAATCCTTGTATTTTGTTACACCTATCCTAGTCTCTACATATATACCTCTATACTGCTGTACCTAGATATGAAATGATTTTTAAAATTTACTCATTGTATTTTATTTCTTTTCAGTTTATGTGTAAAAATGCTGGACTGGTTTGAATACCACGGTCACATGTGCATCGCATTTGAAATGCTCGGACAAAGTGTATTTGATTTCTTGGTAAGTGATGATTGTTGATTTCCAGACTAAAATTTTTTAACTTGCAGTAGCCATATATTTTTTAAGTGTATACTGAAAACACCCAATACCTGACAAATATTTAGTTTTCAAAATAAATCTGCATCACATAAAAGCACCAAAATACGACTAACGTGGAAGTTTAGTATTTAGATAGGAGTAATTAAATTCATTCTTAGAGTTTATTTCGATCACCGTAGTAAAGCATTCCATTATATGTGAGCACAGTGATGGAACTGTAATTTATTCATTATACTAGGAACATGGCATTGAAAATCAATCAATCAACATGGTTTATGAAAAATCTTTTATTTTTTAAATGTTTGTCATCACTGTTTTATTTGAATAACAGTTGAAAGTAAACATATAAATCAAAATCCAAAGACTGAGATGAGAGTATTTATGCAAATCTTTGCTTCAAACAATGTATGTTGAATTTTTTCCATTTCGTTTCCAGAAAGACAACAACTATCAGCCTTACCCATTGGAGCAAGTGCGGCATATCTCGTACCAGTTGATATACAGTGTGCTATTCCTGCATGAGAACAAACTCACCCACACAGATCTCAAGCCCGAGAATATTTTATTTGTAGATAGTGACTACGAGGTGGTCAGTGTATATAATAGCTCTAAGAAGGTATAGTATTATTATACAAAACTTATTTTAAATTTTTATTTGATACTGCTATTGTTTACTTTTATCTTGGATTTAATCTTAACTAAAAGATTTGGTAAAAGTAACAAATTAAAACATGCAATAAAATTAATTTAATTCTGTTGTGAAATAAAAGCTTTTAATACCAAATATCAAACAGTCAATTTGTCTAGTGAAGATGTTTTAAACATATTTAATCATAAAATATTTTTAACACGTAATTTTAAATTGGGACCATCAAACTCCGTTACGTTCTTATTTTACTGAAGATCGAATTAGCCATTCAAGTATTTCTGTGGCATGTGTTGAATATATACGTAATAAGCTAAATACCTTCCTTACCCGCAACTTGATTACGCTAATGAACAATGCTGGTTCTTTGCAGACACATGACTTACTGCGCGTTAAGCGCAGCGACGTGCGGCTGATCGACTTTGGCAGCGCCACCTTCGACCACGAGCACCACAGCACCATCGTCTCGACGCGCCATTACCGCGCGCCAGAGGTCATACTTGGTGCGTTGCCCATTTGCATATATATATATATATATATATATATTTCATACAAACAAACACCCGGACCCGAAAAAATTATCGTCGATTGTGGCAAATAGTTGTTTTATGTGGCAATCGAACCCGCCACACGCGGCGCCGACATTAGACTGATTTATTATTTACTACCTCCCATAGAGCATGCTGGCCAAAGTTAGGGCTGAAATGCAAATTATTAAACACCCTCATTATAGTTCTTGCATGGGAATATTCCACATAATTGATGACCTCCAATTCCAATTTTAATATAATAGCTCCATCTAGGAATAACTTGATGATTCTGCCAATGTCAAGGTTGAATAAAACAGATAAGACAGCTTTTAACAGATAGCTTTTATATGGTATGACCTCCAGGTGTGCACGCAATAACATGCTATATATATACAACTAGCGACCCGCCCCGGCTTCGCACGGATGCAATGTATCATACATAATTATAAACCTTCCTCTTGAATCACTATCTAGTAAAAAAAACCGCATCAAGATCCATTGCATAGTTTAAAGATCTAAGCATACCTAGGGACAGACAGAGGGCGACTTTGTTTTCTATGTAGTGAAGACCACTTACGAAAATACAGTGAATTCAATCAGTCTTTATGCTTTTTCACGTGCTTTATCTTATAATATCAATGTCCACACAATCTATAAATCACACTAAAGTATGCAAAAGAGCACACAGACCGAATACCTCATGTCAGTCTCAATCAGAGAAATAATAGTTCAGGGAAAAGTGGTTATATCATCATCATTATTATATGTCTCTGTTTCATGGACTATCTTAGCTTTATATTATTAACAAAATATACTTAGGCCATTGCTTGTGCAAACAGATTGAACGTTAACACTCGATTTTGCAGAACTGGGCTGGTCTCAGCCGTGCGACGTGTGGTCAATCGGTTGCATCATGTTCGAGCTGCACTTGGGCATCACACTGTTCCAAACGCACGACAACCGCGAACACCTCGCCATGATGGAAAGGATCCTCGGGCCCATTCCCTACAGGTAGGTTTCTGCGGAAACATTCCGTATGACCACTGGAAATTATTATGTGTGTGGCTTGGATATTTTACCAGCAATTAATAAATATTACTGGTGAAATTAGTTATTACTGGTAAAATAACCTTAAATTTGACAAATTCATTACTGACCAGTGACTATGTAATGAAATTGTAATGTACCATTTATAAGTATGGTTATTTCTGACTATGACTTTCAATATTTCAATTATTTATCAAAGAAATTGTTCAGTAATCAAACAATACAATTTACTTCCCAGAATGGCACGGAAAACAAGGACAAAATACTTTTACCACGGCAAATTGGACTGGGACGAAAAATCGTCAGCCGGACGGTACGTCAGAGAAAACTGCAAACCGCTACTGGTAAGTTGGTTTAATTCATAGAAAGCTTCTCCTTTCAAATTTCAGCATTGTGAAAGTGACAGTGTCTTAGGTAACATGATTTGAAAGTATCCATTTCATAATGATCTTATTCTTCTCGCCCCAGTTAGCTTGTAAAATAATGTAGTTTTTATCGCATTATCGTACAATATATTTTATTTATTTTGTAACGCAGATTGATTTTGTTTTTTTGGTCTTTTTTTAACAATTTACGTCGCTTATACTTCTAGTTAAATTCGCAGTTCAATTTGAATAGTGCTTTTTGTTAAAAAATTAAAACAAATAGCAAAAACAGAGTTTTTATAATTATAAGCACCACTATAAAAAAAGCTTCATCCCAAACAAGCGGTGGGGTTTATGAATTTAACGAGGCTGAAGAAATTTTTTAATTTGTTCTGATATAATTACAAATGAAATTCGCTATAAACCATGTGCACTAAAAGCATTTGTTCTAAGTGCATTTAAAGAGAAAGCATTTGCTCTAACAACTTGTGTTCACATCCGTAGAGGTACATGCAGAGCAACAGCGAGGAACACCGGCAGCTGTTCGAGCTGATCGCTCGCATGCTGGAGTACGAGCCCTCGCAGCGGATCACGCTGCGTGAGGCCCTCGCGCACCCCTTCTTCGCCAAGCTGCCGCCGCACCAGAGGCTCGGTACGGAACCAACCAAACAACTGACCAACTGAACAACAGACCCCGCACAATCCTCCATCTTGACTCGCTTTTACTAACTTCCTAATTCATAACGTACATATGTAAAATGATATTATTTATATATTTAAATACATCATAGGATAACAATGTTGTAAAAGGAATCTTTGTTATGTAAGGTGGGCATTTAGACTTGTATAGATACAGCTTTCTAAATGTGTTCTTAAGTTATAAACTAATATGAATTGATAACAAGAAAATTGTATGCTTTGAATGTGAATTAGCGAGTCCGTTAAGAACGAGTTATGTTCATGATTAGTAAAGCCTTACTTAGTACCTTTATGAGATTGTAGATTGAGAAAATCTGTAATTTTAACAATTGCGTTTTTGTTGATCTTGTTAAACTTAAATTTTCTCTCCTATGTCAAGAAATGGAATTAATTTATATGCAATATTTATGCAAATCTATAAAATTAATAAAAATAAATTTGGTGTTGACTCCAGAATTTTATCCTAAGTTGCATGAAAATACTGAATCAAAAGTGGGGGCCCATGAACAGTAATATCACAATTATTTTCTGGTAGCAAATTTCTAAAAAAAATGCATGGATATGAAAGATTCTAAAGAGATGGAGATCCACAATCTTTAGGTGAATATTTTGTGAGCATAATTTGGTACAAATCTAATTGGCCATGTAAATTATTACTCAACCTTCATTTTTTGTTTAAACAGTTTACGTTATCGTTCACGTTTACTTTTATTGTTTCTGCATTGTTTTTATTCTAATATAATAACAGTTAGGGTTTTCTTTATGTTTTCTAACGATTTATAAACTTACTTTACGATTACATATTTGTACATACTAAACATTATGACCTAAATAAGTCTTGAACATTATTATCAGTTTCTAAATCTCTATCTTGCTATTACATATATAAAGTGATGTTTAATACAATAAAATGTACTCTCAACAGTGCATTGAATATTGTTTATGTTTTCTTAAAATGAAAAGTAATACAAGCATACGATTACGATATTGAATTGTGCTAACATCAAGAAACTTGAAATAGCAATATAACCTGTTATTGATGTTTTATTTGCCCATAATGCTGTGCGCGCCAGTCGCAGAAAAATGATGTGAAATTCTTTGTTATAGGGTACCAGTTTTCAAGGCCGTCGTTTCTTAGGTCAGGCCTTCTCCATTGTTTACTGCTTCATTGGGCTTGTTATCTTTTGTAAACTTGTCTAAACACATAACGTGATATGAATTTAATTAATTATTCGAGTTTATTTTGTTTCCGGCCTGCTCTAAATTATGCTTTCGAAACTATATTGATTAACAAAATTTGTTCTTATTTAACAGGTTTTTTTTTTATTTGTAATACCAAGATAAAACTTATGTTTTGTACGAAAATACAAAATTTTAATGATGTTTTATAAATATTTGCATGAAATTTTAACGTCGCTAAAATCTGATGCTAACTGATTTAGTAATTGAAATTATTTTTATAGAATTTTTACTGTGTTTAGTTTTTTAACTGTGGCCACGCAACACGGCCACGCTTGTCCGGGGAAGTATCCACAGAAAACCGGCGTGAAGTATCATAAGTATACTTTAGCGTATCGTCTGATCAATCGTCGTATCTGAAAGATACGCATCAGCGAGCCATCAGGTGTTGTAAATGTCTATGGGGGGCGGTATTTATTTAAAAACGGGTGAACCACCTCGTTTGACAACTTAAACATAAAAAATAAGTTTATTAGTATTTCCTTTAAGAATCAATTATTTTGAATACAGTATAACCCATTTATATTTCAAAACTGTAAAACCATGTTCATGGCTGCCGATAATTAAAAAGTAAAGGAATGCTATGAAATCTGTTGACAAACGGAAATTGTTATGTATTTTTGTGAATGTTTCGTTTTAATTAGAATTAATATTTTGTATATATAACAGTGATGATTATTAAACTTTTCAAAATTTGGTTCTATATCCTACTTTTTCGAAGCTTTTGTGGTTTTTTTTACATTTCAAAAACATTTAATAATATAAAAATTGTTGGTATGATCGGAAGTTTATTTTCCATATAAACAAACTGCAGCAAAACTGCAGCATGGATTTTTGTTCATAGATTTATGATGAGGTGATATGATGTGATGAACACTGTGTTAACTTCTTGCGTTTTGGATCAATGTTACATAACTGCTAATGGCAAATGACGCATATTCTTGGCAGAGGTAGAACATAGGTAAATTGTTGCAATTGGCACTGGGGGTCTTTTTATCGGAACGACTGAAAGGTGTAGAGTTGTTTTGTAATTGTATGATTTTGTGTGCGAAGGGTGTGTAGCCTTCCCTTCGAAAGCATTACTGTAGGTTGGACAGCGTTCCTGCGTTGTAAGGATGTTTTACAAACATAGATTTCATGTGGACAATAAAAATTATCCATGGGCCTCACAAATAGACGTGTGAGAATCGAACCCACAACCTTCGGCACCGAAAGCGATACCTTGGCAGCGGAGTCCATTTGTGCGATTGGCGATTAACGATCGTGTGCGTTCCAGGCAATGACCGGTCCCGGTGCAACGGGGAGAGTTCCCGCGAACGCTCGCACTCGCTGAGCAGGTGAGGCGAGCGCCGGCGCCGCAGCGACGCGGCAGTGACGTGATGTGACGTGTTGAGGACGTTTGATCTAGCAAATATTTTGTTGTGAATCGCTCTACTTCTCAATTTGTATTTATAAATAAATTACTATTCGAAATAAAGACTATCCGGTCTATATGCAGGCGTTTCATTTCATCACCCGTTCAGTGTGAACGGCTTTTGGCAGAATGTGTAGCTCTCGTCTAACGTAATGTCAGTAACTATACGGTACTGGAGGTAAATAGAGATTTATGTTGAAAAATAAATAATAAAACAAACGATAATAAGGAAGTACCAACAATGCTTAGCTCATGCATTTACTAACAAAGAACAATGCCCATTTTTGACCTGATTGTGTATAGGGGTGAAATAAATATTAAAATTTAGCTTATTTTATTTTATAGTAATTACACTAATCACAATGTTAAAAGAAGGTCGGGGAAAAAATATTTTTTGATATTTCTTTACGCTTATTTTACTTCAAGGGTAACCATGTTTTGAACGCACCTTAACAATCCTTTGCATAGGACGTTCCATTTCTCACACTACCAACTTGACTGTATTCAACTTTTTCTGAGTTTTGTACGTGATTTTACGTTTTAGAGAAGTGAATAAGCACGTAATTAACAGTATTTGTATAAAAATTCAGATCAATCTTATTAGTAGTACAGATTTATTAAAAATAAAATAATAAATTATTAATGCAGCATGTAATAAAGTTCGCACGGCTGACGTAAATGGATTTTTTTTGACATTTGACAGTTCTGCGAGTGACTCATACTCATCGGTATTCGCCAGTATTTGTGAGTATTTATGTTTATTATTTTTAATCTAAAAATGTCAATCATGTCCTAATCAAACTAACAAAGATCCTATAAATTATACCTGTGACATAACACAAACAACTGTTCAAAAGATCTATATATCCAAAATATGTATTATAAACTCGATGTATGTTTTTTTTATTTCAGATTACTGAGGAAGATTACATTTGTAAATCTTGTAATGAACTCTTTATGAGAATAATAAACCAGGAATTAACAAGCTGTGATGTTGCTCAAGCTTCAGGATTATCTCAACCAGGTCGAAGAACAGTTTTTGATAATCCTTCAGAAAAGCAAAGACAGATAAATGCTATTATACAAACAAGTTCACAAGATCACATATTCATGTTTCTACATTGGTAATCATTTGCCAGTGTAAAACTTGATACTATTACTCTAGATTATTTCTCTTTTGTATTTTAGATGTAAATTATTATATCTGTTATTAATTGACTGATGCTGTAATAATTTTAACCACAAATAAATACATAATTGATTTTTTTTAAATATATATTTTTAAGATGTATAATAATTATTGCTTTATTACTTCTTTTGTAGATATCATCATCTGATAGAATATGCCATTCATGCTGGATGAGTTGTAAGAGTGCTGCCACACATATTAGGCATGTTGCTGAAGTTTGTGGTGTTTCTACTACTGAAGATAATTTATTTTTTATGTTTCTGAGATTAATTTATTAGTGAACTTATACTATTTGCGTTAGGTACCAAATAAGGCAAGCCAAATCCTATTATGGTGAACATATTCGCTTTAATGGATCATATAGAATAGAAATATGTAGGGAGACAGGAGTTTTCTAGGAATAATCTGAGTGGAAGTGATGACATAACATTAATAAGAGGAAAAATTAAGTCCTAGCACATTTAAAGAAAACAATATTATGTCTACATTTTAATAGAAAATAATGTGTCTGGCAGAGCTAGTATAGTCGAATACTGTTGTAATTGTTTAGTTGGTTGGCAAACCATAGGATGTTGCACTCATGTTATGACTAGTGTGGTACTTCGGATGAACTATCAAGAAAATATCTCTGTTATAGCAGAATTTCTGGATAACATAGTTATAAGACATTTAAGTGAAGATGATGATAATTAATAAAGCATTCCACTGTGACATAGTGTTTTATTTTTTCCCTCGTTTTATTCATCAGGTATTATATTATAGATTATTATGTATTGTAGTGCAGGCCAATAAAGTGTGTAGGGCAGATAAATGATCACTTTTAACTTACGTTTTTTAAGTAAGTACTTATGTGAGTTGTTGAAATAGCGGATAATGCTCTTGACTCAATTTATAGTGACAAGAATCGAGTCTAAGTAGTGACGTAAGGGCAGTCGGTTTCTAGGAATTCACAAGTAAAAAAGACGTTTTAGACCTTAGATAGGCTAATGTTATTATTTTAGAGTAAACTTGAGCGTAAATAGTTAGTTCTAGCACATTTATTTCGTCATATTAGGTAACTGCAAATCCTAACCTAAAAAGTAACATTTTTTTAATAATTTTTGGACTTCGTAGACCAGCAATCGTAAAAATGACTATATGATATTAATTTACTAACTTAAAGGTAGTCTTTCTGCTATACCTTGTAACTATACATACACTTTCATTACCAGGTTTTTAAATGTATGGGAAGTGTGCATTGTTCTTTTTGACGAAAAACAGTATTGGTGTTTGCGTGGACGTAACTTTATTAATAATTTCTTACGTCTTGCCGCCCTGCCTAACGTGAACAAATACAAATTACTTTATTTCCAAAAAAAACATTTCTATGTTACCTGTCCTATGGGGGATAAATAATATAATCTGCAGTTTGATTTACAGGCTGTTAATAAATATTTAAATGGTTAAATAGTAGAAGTGGGCGATACAAATCGTATCAGATATGAAAACTAGATTTTAGTACAATATCCGAATATCGCTTACTGGCTCGTTCAATATCTATGTATTTTATAATATCTGATATTTCCGAAATCTGATGTAACGTGCTCGCTCGCTATACCGACACGAATCGCGATATCATACGCGTTTGCCACAATATCTGATTTTTAAACAGATTTCGAGAGACAAAGCGCGTGAGATACAAATACTCACTAGTTAAAGCGGGACGGCAAGCAATGCACGATATCAGATATCGAGCGACAAAGCGCGTGAGATATAAATACTCACTGGTTAGAGCGGGACGGCAAGCAATGCACGATATCAGATATCGAGCGACAAAGCGCGTGAGATATAAATACTCAGTAGTTAGAGCGGGACGGCAAGCTATGCACGATATCAGATTTTTAAACAGATTTTGAGCGACAAAGCGCGTGAGATACAAATATTACACTAGTTAGAGCAGTACGGCAAGCAAGGCACAATATCAGATTTTTAAACAGATGTTATGAATAAGTTAAGTAATTTTGATTCTTAAACTCATACAAATAAGATCCGTTTCAATTAAATACTAATCATGGTATCAACGATTACTACAAGGATATTATTAAGAATATTTTTATTGTTTAGCCTTGAGCCGTAACGGGCGACAAAGCGCGCAGTTAAATAATTTTGAATCTTAACAGCATGGGAAAAAAACATTTTTAGTTGCATTTAAATACGAATTACGGTATTAACGATTAATTTTGTTTAGTCTTGAGCTGGATTGCATTGGTACCTAGCACGTAATAGTAAGGGATGCCAACTTACTACTTAAGAATTTTCTGCCTAAATTAAGGAAGAAAAATATAAATGGAAATTTTTTAGGAGGTAAATTTTTTGTGAATATTTTTATTAGTTAAATTTTAATTCATATTTTTGGAAAAAAATAAAACTACACAAAAAGAAAAATATAATTTAATAGTGCTGTGCTGCTTGGGTGGATATCAGACCAAGGCTTATGTGCTTTGTGTGTATATTTTAAATTCTTCCGCCCTAAGTTATAATACTGAATGTATTATTTCTTACACAAATTATAAAAATATTGTCACTCATGATTGCGTGTTCTAAGAATATGTTAAAGTCAATTATTAAGCGATATACAAGATGTTAAAATAAATCATTTTTATATTACTTCAATTTCTATTTTTAATGAAATTTTTAATTTAATCAGGTAATGTTTTAATTTTACCTTAATAGTATAAAAAATCGTGATTTTAAATTCAGTAAGTTTTTTGAATTTAGTATATTTTAGTGGGTTTTCGAATTTATTTAGAAGTATTCTTTTTGAACAGTTGGTATCACTGGTGATAGCTCTAGTTATTTAGAGGTATAGTGATCGTCGAACAAGACTTTCGACGATTAAAGTCAAACAGCTTACGTTCGTAAACGTGAATGTAAACCCGGAGGAATCTAAATAATTATTAACCCACACATAATTGTAAATAAGTTAAGTTTTAAATATCAGGAAAATTATGTACATAGAATGAATCAACTTTTAAATACGCCTTTTTTTTTTCTTTTAGAATTCAAGGTGGATACAGGACCGTAAAATATCTAGATATTAAAATACATAGTTCCGAAATCTGATATTTGAAATCGAAATCTGATTCAGATACGGTACTCAGAAAAAGCGATACGACCCATCTCTATTAAATAGGGAAGCGTTGTGTATGTGTGAATGTGAACCTATTTCAGTTAACTGTCGACATAACTGTTTCAGATTCATTATATGACCATTTTAAAAGAATCTCCGTTAAAGAAGATTTAAAAATTTTCAGGTTGCATTACTTTATTTTGATTGCCTAAGTTGACTAATTTATTCTAAATACAAGGGAATAGATAAAGACCAAAACGTTTAGCAAAAGTTGTCCTGGTTGGCGGGGTAGGGATTCTGAATGTTCTTTTTTTTCATTAAGTCGAAGTAATTGGTGGACTATGTACTAATACTGAAACAAATACAGCATCTTAACACTATAATATTTGCCTCGTCATGCAAACATGACATTTTTAAAACCGCTCTCTGTCCTCGTTCTAGAGATATGAGTTGTGGATGCTATGCCTCCTCATGTCAAAATGCAGAACTAAAGACGATGTCCCAATTGGGAATTTTCGTGGCTTCATTTCGGGCGCGTTAACATATCTGTATTAAAAAATATTATTGGTTTCTGTATAAAGAATTAAATCTTTCCATAAGCCATAAGGTTTCACCATGGATGCACGTAAATAAAAAGGCAGTTGAATTGAATACAATTTATTTCGAAGTATATAAATAAATTATGAATACCTACACTTTTTAAAAACCGTACATACTTAAGTGATTTGAAAGGAACGTGAAGAAATAAATTCAGAATTATACACTTATAAATCAAAAGTCAACTAGGTACTATGATGATTTGATAGAGACAACGAAAACATAAAATTATAAATAACGATTTTTGGTTATTTAAATAATACACTAATTATGTTTAAGTTAACTAAATACGATAAATATGAAAATGACTTATACCCTTAATGAGAAGCTTTGGAATGTTCGTGCGGCATCAACTAACCAAAAATACTAGGCAGATATAATATATAAAAGTACTCTTTGATACTAGGTAATGCCAAGACGACGCAAAAACTAATGAGAACAAAAACAATATTTTGATACAATCATCATAAATTACTAAAATGTATTTTTTTTAAATAATATTTAACGCAGGCAACGTAGATCGGACTTACCAACACTTTTAGAGTTATTTTGCTGCGCTTCGGTAATTAATAATTTAATCATAAATAATATTAACATTTAATCATGGTAACTTGTAAGTACATACACTTATATGGAAGCGTCAGGTGTAATTAAAGTTATTTTTTTTGTTTAAAAGAACAACTTACAAAAAACAGCAAAGTACACACCCCGAATGACTTCATAATTACAATCTTTTATCAAATTTTAGTGCAAGCGTAGAATATTATCGACTCTGTAATCAAAGTCTATGGCAAATTTTATTTGAACGTTGACATCCCTAACACGAATTAACCGCCTTCGTAGTAGGGATGTCGAAGTAAAGAAATATATCGATATATCGCTAAAAACTCATTTGATTAAAAAAAGGGTATCGAGTATTAAATATTTGACATAATTCTAATTAAATATTTGACATAATTCTAATTAAATATTTGACATAATTCTAATTAAATATTTGACATCATTTTTCAAATTGAAAAATTATCGATTTCGATTACGATTTACGACAATGAATATTTTGTGTTGAAATATCGGATCCAAATATATCGGCTGAAAATATCTAGAATCAAAAATATCGATATATCGATATTTCCCTACTTCACGGAGGGAATTCAGTCGAAAAGACTGAACACTCCAATTACTTTTATTAAACGCTAGAAGTTTAGTTTTGCAGTTTAGCAAACGCTCTATCGATTGATACGGCGTCAGACACAATCGATTTGCAAAACGTCGCGAGTGAAACGGGGGGCCGTGTTGTGGTGTGTGGTTTGTGTGCACTAGATTAGGTCGACGGTGGGCGAAGCGTTGGCGTCGGGCCACGAGTACTGCGGCGGGAGGGCGGCGTCGTAGTGCGGGTCGTACATCTGCGCGCGGATGAACGCCTCCGTGTCCAGCGGCTGCGGCTGCACTTGCGCTTTGCCTGTGGGAATACGAGAGAAAAAAAGTAAAGTTGCACCCTTTATTTGTATAAAGCTGGGCACAAGGCCAGTCGCCCCCACTGCGGATTGGTGGAGAAATGTCTTTCAAAAAGGTTTCAAAATGCAGGTTTACTGAGGATGTTTTCCTTCACAGCTGATCACGTGGTAAGTTAGCATTTAAAATTGAAATTAACAATTCCATTGGCGCACGCAGAGACAACAATAATTATTGAAGACAAAAGTAAAAATGAACTTTGTTTACGGTATACAGCGTGTCGTTACCATCGCGACAATAAATGAACACACGTCTAACTATATTTGCCAATAATCATAAAAAAATATTAACGTTAAACAAAATCCATAATTAAAAAAAAAATATTTTTCAAACAAACTAATTAATTAAAAAAGAAACAAAATTTGTAACATCCTATACAACTCGCGCCACAGCGTCGCATTACAAGCCTCTCCTTTTAACAGTATGTTTTGTCTCTTTTAAATTCATTCGACCCATTCATATGCTTTATGACCTTTACAAATGAACTTTACGTTACGCTTTTATAGGTAAGGGTGTTCTAAAATTCTTTGTTTTCGAAAATTTTATAACTCTGTAAATATTGATGTTTAAAGAATTTAAATGTTTAATACAACTTTAAAAAGTTATCCCCTATATGTGTGCTCATTTATTGTCGCGATGGTAACGACACGCTGTATAATCTATTTGGTGCTATAAAAGCGCTGCCAACTATTGAGTTGGATTATCGTTTAAGTATTAATAAATATGTTGTTAATGGTTATGGTTACTATATACTATTCAAAGATAGTTAACAATGGCATTGAGAACAATTTACTATATAGTTCAATATCTCTATACTGAAAAGGAAACTTTTCCCCGATACAGGTTGGTTATCATTACCTTAATTCATCTCCCAGTTAATTAGAATGTGCATTTGCCCTGACCCGTTAAATGTTAAAGTAACTGTTACTTCGTAACTTTTATTGCAATAATAAACAATACAATTACCCGTGCTGTAGGCGTGCTCGAAAATCTTCTTAGCAATCTTGACGGAACAATCCTGTATGGCCTCCAATGGAGGGTACAAACTGCCGCGGTCCAAGTCCTCCTGAGATACGACCTCAGCTAGGGCCTGCCACCAAAAGATAGTATGTGACAACAATAGTGTTGTAACAACAGAAAAGAATTTATCACATATCTAATTTTATTAATTTACGGTTTCCATTACTCAAAGCTTTAATATAAAGACGAATCAATTGAAATTTCCTGCTAAGTTTGGCGTCATTCCCTATATATCACGCCTATCATCCAAAGGAGACTTTCGTTATTTTGATTCTTTTTCTAGCCACCTGCATCCATCGACTTCTCGCATATTTGCACGGGTCGTGTTACTCCATCTAGTGGGAGGTCGTCCTACACCACGATGTTTTTTCTTTGTGACGTGTAGTTTAGAGTTAGCGTAGAGTTAATTTAAGGTGTTGCACGACGACAAACAGGTTCGAACCAAAGTAATAAAAACGCTCACCTCCGCGGCGAGCAGCATGAAGTCCTCGGACACGTCGACGATGCCCGCGCACACGATGCCGAGCGCCAGGCCGGGGAAGATGTAGGCGTTGTTGCCCTGCCCCGGGCGGAGGGTGCGCCCGTCCTTCGTGCGGAAGTCCGGGAACGGGGAGCCCGACGCGAAGATGGCGCGCTCCTGAGGGGATACCACAGTCAGCTATCGGCAGTGGCGGGTTTGCCCCAAGGCCCAATAGGCCCGGGCCAGGGCGGCCAATCGTGACAAAATATTCACTCATGGTAACAAGATACATGACGGGCGTTGAGAAAGGGGCGGCTGGAACTCACTACGTGGGCTGGGGCCTAGGGCGGCCAAGAGTACAAATCCGCCACTGGCTACCGCTTTAGCCGTCGGGTATACAAAGATCCAATTGAACCCCATAAAATCCGTAAAAAATAGTTTCATTTAAAAATGTGGCACGCTCCTATGCGAATAGACCCGCATTTGCACGAACCTAAACCGAAGCAAAAGAAAAAAATCAAAGAAAAAGACTTATTTTCTTCCCAATTATTTTGTTGCATCGGAGAATATATGGGAGTTCAACACAATACAACTGTGTTAGGAACACGCAACAGTCTTCGCTGTTGCACGAAAGAGCAGGTCCGTCCGGGTAAGTACCACGACCTCACAGAAGACCGGCGTCAAGTGGAAGTTCTGCACTTCTGCGTTTCATCTGGTAAGTGTGGTACATACTTGTGCGTTGTCTGTCTAGTAAGGGCCCACTTTATTAAAAGTTGGCAACGCTACAGGTGTTGTACATGTCAATGGGCAGTGTTTATTACTTAACATCTTTACACTCTTTACATCTTAACACTTTAACAGCTTTACAGTTTATTTTGTGTGCCATGTTATATAGTATTATGTGTTCGTTTATGAATAATCAATGCTCGATTTTGAATAGCGAAAGTATGGAAGAGAGTGGAAGGACGGTAAGGATGATGAAAATGACATTATGATCCTCGTTTCGGTTTATTTTTTAATGTGAAAAGTAACAAACGATCAGACGGTTCACCTGATGTTAAGTGAATACCGCCGCCCATGGACATCTGCCACACCCGAGAGTTACAGATGCGTTGACAACCTTTTGATAATTGGGCTCCGGCTACCTCACTCACCAGACGAAACGTGAAAGTATTTGTCATACTTCCACTTTACGCTGGTCTTCTGTGAGGTCGTGCTACTTACCCGGATGAGCCTGCCCATTCGTGCAACAGCCGAGGCTGCTGCGTGGCCCTACCACCGTTAAAATTCGTCGTTTGCCATCTTTTCAAATAAAAAAAAGAAAAACACGATTTTTTCTAGAACTCTGTGGAATACTCGATCCGAATGAGAAATGGTATGCAACAAGCGTAGGTGACGTAAGTCCGAAGGTCGAATACTTAATCCGTGTAAAGTGAGCAATAATAAGTGAATAAGATTCGGTGACGTACGTCCGTGTTGGAGTACGCCTCCTCGGCGGTGCACTCCGCCTTGCTGGTGGGGTTGGAGAGCGCGAATATGACGGGGCGCTCGTTGTTGGACGCCATCTTGCGCAGGATAGAGGGCGTGAAGGCGCCACGGATGGCGGCAGCGCCTGCGATGCCACAATTATACTGTTATTAATCCTAAATTGTAATAATAGATAGTTATTGTTCTAAAAGCATATACATATGCAATAATGTACTAGTAATTAGAATGCAATTATTTTGGTCAGATTTCAGACAAAGGGTTTAGGGTAAAGCTTTGTTACACACATTGCGCACAGCGCCGATATTCTACCCCAGCCTAACATTAACTAATCATGAATAACAATAAAATTAAAATAATTTGAAAACACAAAATAATAAAAAAACAACAATAGTTAAAAACTTCAAAATTAAACTTAAGACATGCCAACCATCTTAAAACATAACAACTTAAAACATGCCAGCAACCTATATCCATGATATATATTTGCGTGAAAGAGTAACAAACATCCATCCATACGTACAAACTTACGCGTTCATAATATTAGTAAGGAAGTAAGGGGTTAGAAGCGTGAACAACACGAACCGATGAGCACCGAGGGCCTAGCCGCGTCCACCACCTCCTCGAGGGTGCGAATGGGGGGGCAGTCCTTCGCGAACTTCTCCTTGTGCTCGTTCAGACCACCCTCGGGCCGATCGCGCACAATCAGACCCTGCAGCAAATTCAAATTCAAAATGCAAAATATCTTTATTCACACGACACGCTTCTTCTTATGAAAAGTCGAAGTTTTACATAGAAATTAATACGTTCGTAAGTTACCAAAGCGTCGTCATCCAAATAGTATTCAATTTTGAAAGTCACACAATATAATATTTCGGAAAAATAAATATGGATTGGCAATAAACATGATAAATATTAATATTAATACATAAGGATGCAATGTTCGATTTGATCGGCCTTTCCTTCGCAATATTTTAGTATGCGCTAACTTAACAAAAACCTTCAAAATATTAAAAAGTGATTATAAAAGTGTATTTATTCAGCAAACAAATAGTTCTGGCATAAAGGACACATCGCAACAGGGAGCTGGAAAAAAATTATTTAAGTTGTTGACTGGTCAGCACATAAAACCTGGTTTAACATTTCAACGTGAGTGAAACCTTCAAAGCTTAGATCATTGTTAACTTAGTTAAAATAACTAATAACGTAATAAAACGTTATATACAATTGTTTAAAAAGCCGAATGTGACTAAAAGTTGTCTTTATATAGATACTCGCGGACTCAGACGTTAAATCACGATTTAAATCCGATAACTTTAAAAAAAATTGTGAATCTAAACCATTTTCGAATCGACCTGAAGACACACAAAAAAATTCATTAAAATCGGTCCAGCCGTTTAGGAATTCACACGTACAGAAAAATGATACAGGTGACTTTTCAAGAGGTTTAGACTCGGTAGTATAATCGTTTATTGAAATAAAAACAAACATTTTTTTTTTCAAAAAAATTGCCATTCCATTCCTTAGAAAACAAAACATGTTGAATTAAAAATTCGGCAGTCATTCATAAATGCGTCGTACTCTGTTGAAACGAACTTGTGTGCGTGTTAGTTATGAATGATCGCGCGTAAAATAAATGAGTTGCGTATAAATCTCGGACTTTATGAGATAAGTTTAAATGAATGTATTTAATTAATTAAGAGTGATTTTAAATATTTATCATTTTTATATAACATTATTTCTGTCTAGAATTTAATAAAAAAAAAATGGACACACTTAAATAGCCTCCCTGTATATATAAAAATAAACGCCAGATGTTTCGGTAACCAGCATTTAAAATGAGGAAAATTGAGGGTCACCTTCGAGTCGACCATCCAGATGCGGGCGCGCGCCTCCGCGTCTGTGGCGCCCTCTGCCTTCATCGCCATCACGCACAACTCTGCGATGCCCAACGACGCCTGCGGAATATAATGGCGCCAATGTAAATTCTGCTATGCACAAATGCACTATTTACCCAAATCTTTGAAATATTTTACTTTTGATTTACACTTTGCCAGTTCGCTTGCCATCTTCTCACATTAAAAAGAAGTTATACTTACTATGCTTCTCTAGCGTAACATAAGAAAAACAACTAAAAGTTTCGTCTCGTGCAGGTACTTGCTGTTAATGAAAAAAAAGACACAAAAAACACTAAAAGACACTAAAGTGCAACTGATAACGTTTTAATTAAATAATTTGGAATGATAAATAAGTCAAAAAATTATTGGTTGCACTGACAATACCGTGACATTGTTCGCTTTACAGTCGACTCCACCATGTCGCTTTTTCTAGAAGCGTCGGTATGCGCGCGCATTGTCAAAATCAAAATCAAATACCTTTATTCAATATGGAAGCATTAAACTTACTTATTGATTGTCAAGACCCTACTACCGGTTCGGCAAGAAAAGCCACTGACCTGAGAAGAACCGGCGAAATAAACTCAGCTATTATTATTGTAAAAACTTTACTCCCCAGTTTCTAGACGCGCCGTAATAGGTTAAACTTCAAAAACAGTTTGCAGGTGTTCGTGGGCGGCGGTAATTACTCACCATCAGCCTCGTGCTAACCCTAAAAAAAAACATGGGAATAAAAGCGACAATGGCCAGCGTCGGTCCCAGCACTCACCTCCCCAGCGCCCTGGAACACGAAGGTGTTGTCGGCCAGCTTCTTGCCGGTGAGGCGCAGACTGGCCAAAAGGCCCGCCACCGCCACCGCCGCCGTGCCCTGGATGTCGTCGTTGAACGTGCAGTACCTGGACAACGACGCAATATCAGCACAAGTCGCTGTGACCGTTTTGATCCTGGCGAGACCCTAAAATTTTGACTTTTGACTCAAACTTCCATTATGTCTTTTGACCCTGGCGAGACCCTAACATGCGCACTCAAACTCTTCAGCTACATTTATGTCCCTGCAGTTAAAATGACATTTAAAAAGTGATCTGTACGAATAGACAAATGGACAAAAAAAAACGCCACTGCTTTATTCGGAGACTGGAACTTATTACCTCAGCGCGTGCAATTTTCATTGACGTAAACCTTTTATACCTTATAAATTCACGAACGCGTATTATTACATAGCTTACCTTTTCTGTGTATTAATTTTGCCGATTCTATGTGTTATACTTTCATATCGTCATTCACAATCGACTTTCGCACCATAAAAGAGAAGCGGGCATTGCTCACTTTCCGCGGTACTTCTCCAGCAGCCGGAACGCGTTCGCGTTGCCAAAGTCCTCGAACTGGACGAGGCAGTTCTGGCCGAAGCGGCGCACCACCGCGCGCATGAACTCCTCCACGAAGTCGTCGTACGGCGCGCCGCGCACGCGCCTCTGCCTCAGGCCGATGTACAGCGGGTCCTTCAGCATCGTCTCGTTGTTCGTGCCCACGTCTGCGACATGCACGTTGCAAGTCCCGCTTAAATACGCTATTCATGGTCATCACCCTCCTTTCTGCTCATACCTAGGTCGATACGCTATTCATGGTCATCATCAAAGGATCGTCCTTTCTGCCCATACCTAGCTGGGGTCGGCACAACGTGTCAATCTAGATTTTTTGGGCCGCCTGCCTGACGTCTACCCTCCTTGGGAAACAAGATCCGGGAAAATTGTCTGTGGGTCAGACAAATACTTGTCCCGTGTGGGAATCGAACCCACGACTCCGGACGCCGAAACCAACTTAACTGTGGCAGGGCCACGCAGCAGTGTTCGTTGTTGCACGCTGTGAAGTGGAAGTGTTACACTTCGTGCGTTTCGTCTGGTGAGTGAGGTAGCCGGGGCCCTCTTTATTAAAAGGTGGCAACTCATCGCCAACCCTACGGGTGTTGCAAATGTCTATGGGCGGCGGTTATCACTAAACATCACGTAAACTGCCAGATCTTTGCACCTTTGTCACTTAAAAAAAACCGTCTATACAAGTCCCACTGCTTACAAGGGCTTCCTGTATACAGAGGGTATTAGGGCATAGTCGACCACGCGACTTAACTGCGGATTGGCAAAAAATATAGTTTTGAAACAAATTAATTAATTAAAAAAGAAACAAAATTTGTAACATCCTGTACAACTACAACTGACTGATTCATACATTGAGACGTTTTTATTCGCTGTCACAACGTCGCATTAAAAACCTCTCCTTCTAACAGTATCGTCGTCTTTTTAATTCATTCAACCCGTCCATGTGCTTTGTGACCTTTACAAATGAACTTTACGTTACAGTCTTATACGTAAGGATGTTCTAAAAATGTTTGTTTTGTAAAATTTAATAACTCGGTGAATATTGATGTTTAAAGAGTGTAAAAAGCTTAATACAATTTAAAAAATTTATACTCTATATGTGTGTTCATTTATTGTCGCGGTTGTAACGACACGCTGTATACGAAATATTTTTTTTGTTATTTCAAAAATATGCAGCTTTCCTCTCGATATTTTCCTTCACCGCTGAGCACGTGATAGTTAAAATTGAAAATTTAATTGATGCTGACATCGAGATTTGAACTCGAGTTACTAGAGAACATTGAATTTAAAGCGAGGACACGAAAACTGAGCTATCACAGCTCTATAATTGTTTATCTATTGTCTTGTATACTCGTAGCATTGTCTTACTCTTCACACAAATCCCAATTAAATATTTGCTATGTCAATTACTTGAATGGATCAAAGTAAATTAGGTCGCCTTTAATATGAGAGAACTAATCGCATTGACACACAGCTGCTCTTGCTTTTGTGTGCGTTAAGTTAGCAATACATATTCAAAACATGACGATCCCGGCGAGACGTAAACGCTCTTTAAGCGACAAGCTGCTAGAAAATAATGACCCATTTACACGGTGCAAGTTTCTTGCCTGTTGTATACAATTAAATTGAAGCAATAAATGAGTTGCATGGTCTAAACAACAAATGGTCTAACAAATTATTGCGCGCAATTTATTGCTTCAATTATTGCTCTTGTATGTACAAGAAAATGGCATCGTCCTTAATGATGATTCCAGGATGATGCGGTTGGCAAAGAAAGCGAGCAAAAAGTGAGCAATAAGTACTAGTGACGTCACTTACGCAATATTGGCAGTTTAACTATGTGTTCACTTTCAAAAGACTACTAAACGTTCATTTAGCACACCACCTCCCATTATTCATAGTGTATTTTTATCCTCGTCCTAAGGTTGTCTGGGAGACATCGCTTTTTAGCGATAAGACCGCCTTTTGTACCTTTTTTGTAGCACTCATTTTAAACTTATTGGATTAAATTCTTTGTGGTGTACAACAAAGTATATAATAATACGAACAATATATAAAAGATAATACAATTATCGCGTTAATGTTTTAGATTATTGTGAAAGTTTGCGCAGATTGTTCCCGTTGGTGAGGCAACGGTTGAAACTTTTTAGTTAAACGTAAAATGGAAACAGCTTATTCGTTAGGCTGCCCGTTATCCTCTAAAAGTGTACGATTTCTTTTCAAAGAAAATTTAAGCTACAATTTTATCGCAGTTAAAGTACTATTACGTCGCGTTTACTTTACTATTCAATTAAATTTCACCCTCCTCTTATAGTTTTATTGATAATAAAATTTCCTACTTGCAGATGCATTTCGTGGCGATATTTTTCGCTATTACATTGAGCACGATAAAACACGTAAATCGATTTCATTGCAATGTAGCACTCTGGTAAATACGAGACATTCAATCACTGTATTGTCCCCAAAAGAACAAAGCTAAACAAAGCATCTAACGGTTGCCTATGACTCTTATTATGTCCCTGTTGCACCTATTAAGAGGCACCAATGCTACGTCTTTTAATTCGCGGGCTTTAAGAATTGTACTATCCGGTGTCAATCTAATAAATCATAACCAATCCCATGTGTTAAATTCACCCCACCGATATATAGCGCCTTGCCGTTATGACTTAGGGATAATCCAGAGCATACTGCTCCGATGTTGCATGTCTATGAGCAGTGGTGATTACCTAACCACCAGGTGAGCCGCTTGCTCGATTGTCTCCTTTTCCATAAGAGAATACTCACCAAGCGTGATGGGCAGGCACTGGTGTGGCTTGATTCCTGCCAGGGCCGTGTAAAGCGCCAGCTTGCCAACGGGGATTCCCATACCGCACGCACCCAAATCCCCCAAGCCCAGGATACGTTCGCCGTCAGTCACCACGATGGCACGGACGTCGGTCTCGGGCCTGAAAAAACACCCGTAATCATTTCAAAAGTGCTTCAAACGATGTTGAGCCATCCCATAATGCGTGTGGCAAATCACAATCATCGAATATAAATAAATAAAATAGATATTTTACAGTGATAGAGCCTTGCTGTTACACGAATGTCTGACTCATCCGGGTAAGTATTGGGCCTTACGGGAGGCCGTTGTAAAGTAAAAGTATTATATAAATACTCACAGACAAAATGCAAATGTATATTTGTAACCGGATCTCAACTTTAAACGATGGCAACGAAACTCCGGCCCCACTTACATGAAAAAAGGATTAGTGGATTCTATCATAAAATAAATACCGCTAACACTAACCAATGACTAGGAATGCGTTTCCATTTCAATATGTGTAAACAATGAGCATTAACTACCTTTATCATGATATCTCTTTAATCCTTTAGAACGAAACGAGAACATGAATTTAACTAAATGGACCAAATATCGCTTACTTAAAGTTCGCAGTTTGCGTGTGAACAAATACCATAGAGATAGAGACGGACAATTGTTTTTACACTTATCAATAAATAAAGATAGCTTATGAGTTGGATAAACAAAACGGATAATTTTTATTCAGTAAACGTTTACAGTTAAATTTCAAAAGAACCACTAAGATGACATTTCAGTTAAAATCCAGTATCAATAAAGCAATCATATCGAGCATGGAAAAATTCGACTCCGTCATGGCTTCAAATTAGTGTACACTTCCTCGTCCTAAATTTAAGCGTTCGTCATCGTCGAAACATCACGACTTTCAGTTACAAGGCATTAAAATGCTCCGTCGTTTCGAATGGGCAAAACGATCAACTGGCGTTCGATCTTCTTCAGCCTTGGGAGTACGATTCGCCACTAATATCAACGCAGCGAACACATGACTAGTCACCGAACAGAGTGCAGAATAACTTTAAAATAACGCTGTAACGTAAGCTGTTAATTAAGTCAGAAACAGAAGCAAACATCGCTAGGACTCCTGCACGTTTTCTAAATAAAAAATAAAAAGAAAATATGTAACGTTCCGTCTATCCGTAGTGCTGTGTGCTCTAAAATCCTCTGTACAAGGGAAGCCTTTGCCCAACAGTGAGGCATATATATGTTTTTAAGTTTATTATTTTTAAACCAGAAGTCATTAGTATGTGCTTCAATTTAATGTGTCCTCAAATTTATGTAACTCCGAAAAACTTCCATACTATACACTATCCGTTCCGAGTAATCTCTGCAATGCCTAAGAAAAATTAATCCTGAGTAGTAAAGTAAAGTACAGTAACAGCCTATACATGTCCCACTGCTGGGCAAAGGCCTCCTCTATACACAGGGTATCGGGCATAGTGCACCACGCGACCCCACTGCGGATTGGCGGACTTCACATATTTTCGAAATATATTGTTTTTTGTTATTTTTTCGAAAATATGCAGGTTTCCTCACGATGTTTTCCTTCACCGCGTAGCACGTGATAAGTCAGCACTTAAAGTTAAAAACTTCATTGGTGCCGGCACCGGGGATCGAACTCAGGTTGCTCGAGTATATTGAATTAAAGGCGAGCGCCCGGACACTGAGCTATCACGGCTCAACCCTGAGTAGACGGATAGTTTATTTTGTTGCTAAACTTAACATTTCATACTATTGAGATTTGCCCGTATCGTTAAAGCATCGAAGACCCACTAGATAAGCCATTACCGACTCTACATGTATAATTATTCTAGTCAGGCCAATTCACTACCCTCAAATTAAGAAACGGCAAAAGTGAATCGTGCTAAGATTTTTTAATATTTGTGAACTTAGTCCTTGATTCCTTTTTTGTGAAACTTACTAAAGCAAAAAACATTATCGTAGATCTAGAACACTAAGAATTTCCAATCACATTTTATGCCTAAGCATTACATGTGATTAGAACTTCCTTGTAAATAATAAAGTTGTGAATATTTCTGACGTCATCGTGTAAATAGTTTTTGATAACAATAGTGTGATACAAAACACGATGAAGTTTTTATTCCGCAGGCACGCACACGAAACCATTTTAGGCGTTACAAAGAAACAAAAGAAGATGAATCTTTATCCTTATTTCAGAGCGTGCACTCCGATAGTACCTATTACTCTTTCTCTTTATTTACAAAGTGCCATAATGCTGTATTTTGGTTAAATTCTTCTACAACTATTTGTAAATGTATTGTTTGTATCTTACTATATTTAAATCTAATCTAAATACAGTGAAAAATGTTTCGACAATTCGACTAGACATTTTAACTTCTATTAAATAACATCAAACATCGAGGTTGATTCAAAGTATTCGATCGGAGTAGGAGCGATAGGGCATAGAGAGTTATCGTTTATCAATTACACGCATGGCAATGTATTGCTTGTCGGAACAAAGTAGATCACCTCGGAGCTGATCACATCGCCTGAGGCGCGTGACTTTGGCCTGAAACGGAAGCCGACTGACCTCCGATACAATCTATAACACATTTAACACCTTCATAACCGCAGCAAAGACTAGCTTAAGATAGTAATCTATTAAAAGAAAACAAATTAATCTTACATTAACCAATAATTGCGATGATCACTTCCACTCTGTTAAGAACGATTCGAAGCGGAAATCGTTCACCACGTTTTCCGGACTCGCGAGGCGCGCCATAAACGCGCGAAAAAACAATTTAGATAATATAATACGTTGATATTTCGTCGGTGCGGCAATCCGCGGATTGGCTTAGTGCTCAAAGGGTGGGCGCTTGGGCGCAAACCCGGTAGACGTGGGTTCGATTCCCATTTTTCTTCAAATTTAAATAAAATCATGTAGCTCAGACCACAATAGCGACACTCACCAGTTCTTCAGTATATCGTAGACGTGTCCCTTGTCGTTGATGGTGATGAAAAGTCCGCGGGGACGACGGTAGATGAGTCCGTACTTCTGGCAGGCAAGGCCCACGGTCGGAGTGTACACTATGGGCATCGCGTCTGCAACGTTACCCGCCACGTAGCTGTAGAACAGGTGCTCGTTGCGGTCCTTTAAATAAACGAGCCATCCATCCAGTGATTGGACAAAAGGAAATGTGTGTTTCATCAAGTTTCGTATGCGACCATTCATTTAAGAAGACTGTTTGTCACTTTGCTCTTGATACATCTTTTTTCTTTCCATGATTTCCATTGTATAGTATAACTAGACGAAGAGTGACATCAGATAGTTTTTAATTTGATAACTGTAAGCATAAAATTTGCTCTCACTTTAAACGGAGAAAACATTTCACTGAATTATACGGTGCCAAGCTTTAATTTATGTAATTTAATATTATTAGCCTATACATGATTAGCTTAGTAATCATATAAACTTTTCTTGAAGTGATTGACTATAAGAAGTAGTAATGTAGTAATTAATTGTATAACAGTACAGAGTTATAAGCTATATCAACAATTTTATACGTATTACATGTAATATATATTATTTTAACATTGCCTTAGTATATTAGGTGTGGTCGCAGCAATAGTAAAGGTTGCAGCCTTGTTTCAGACAGGACGTGAGCCAATGCATACAAATGTATGCAACGATCCATTAATTGTAACACATGTTACAATGGCTTAACATTCGCAAAGGTCGAATGAAAAAATAAATAGACATTAAGCGCTATCGAGATCTCAACGGTGATACAAATGTTTAAGGTCAAACAAATCAATAATTAAGCAACTAAGCTCATATTGATTTTATGTACAGTTGCTTTAGCAGCACTTTCAAGTACCTATTTAAGAAAATACATCATTCACTAATAAATATCCAGTATTGCTTTAACTGCGTTTCAACTTCCATTTCGCATCTAAAAATCGACGTGAAACCCTTCGGAACTTATGTAATCGTGCAGTTGTATTCAAAAAATCAAAAGATAACATTACAACCATTATGAGATAAAAAGACAAAAATTAAAGTTAAAGTAATCGCATCTCTTCGCAACAGTTGACACGAGCTAGAAAACTTACCGTAAAAAACTTTTGCTTGGTATTTGACGACGAGGCTATCATATTTGGTAGATTAAAATAAGCTAGATGGATGTCATTGGCTGTATAAGATGTTTAGACAAAGAGTAAGCTATAAATATAAACACATAGCCCATGACATTATCGGACGGAAAGAGAAAGAATAAACTGCCGCTCACCAGTAGCCCCATAAGGTAGATGTATTTGTTCAGGGGGTCTTCGTATCGCTCGATCGAGATTTTGCAGAGCTGGACCTGCTCCTCCTGCGTCTTGACCCTCGCCGGCAGTAGGCCATGGATACCCAAGGCCTGACGCTCGCTGATGGTGAACGCCAAACCCTAAGGAAATTTATAAATAAATAATTTATTATAACGATTGTAGATGAAATCATTCTTGGCGAGCGAATTTAAAATATTTAAACCATTGATTGTATAATATCAATAACTCGCCAGGAACTTATTGAATTCCCGCAATGTATGTATTGATAGAATCGCAAAAGAACTGAAAAAAGGCCAAGAAGAAAGAGCATCAGAATAATTGCAGTATTGGTTATGTTCAGTGAACGTCAGACCAAAACTAGAACCGACCTGTTGATAAAGTTGTAATTTTCTCTTAGAATAATTATCATATTATATGTATAATCATGGAACGAAAGACGATACGTGTTCGAACAGGAGCGAGTAAATTTTGTTTCAAGACTCGAGGCGACAGATTCTCTACACAAAACACCTTACATTTCCTAGATCATTTAAACAAAACCATGCCGTTAACATGGCTATAAGTGATATGTCATCACAGTAAATTATATTATATTCATAATTAACGAAGACCACCAATTTCTCGAAACATGCCGCTTATTACTAGAATTACTTTGACAGATTACTTCACAAAACTTACATAATTATAAGATTTAATCAACGTAGGCAAGCGTTAAACAAGTTAATTGTAAGAAAAGTTAAGTATGACTTTTCTCGTAGTTACTCGTAACGTCTATTATGGGCATCATAGATAAATACCGATTTGGAAATTTATCGTTGTGAGCCGTTTCAGATTATTGGTGAAAGCACCTCGGCGCGAATCCAGAAGAAGTGAGTTTGATTCCTAAAACGAAGAGAAACTTGTGAAACTGTGTGTCATATAATTATATAGAGGGCATCATCGATATAATTATGACAATCCCGCCAGGGCCCAAGAACGTGCGTGATAACTTAAGCATATTAATATTTCGCACACCAGTATTTACTAGTGGTCGCCTCGTACGCAAAATTAATTTAGTCACCGACAATTCGTTAAATTTAAGTTTTTTTTTTAAAATGCCATTCATTAAATCATACAATTGAAAATTCTTTGGGGATAGACGTCATATGTTTCCAGTTAGTACAGGGCCAAACAATAAGTGTTTTATTTAATTTAACTAGCGACCCGCCCCGACTTCGCACGGGCACAATGTATTATACATAATTATAAACGTTCCTCTTGAATCACTATCTAGTGAAAAAAACCGCATCAAGATCCGTTGCGTAGTTTTAAAGATCTAAGCATATATAGGGTCATACAGACAGCGGGAAGACTTTGTTTTATACTATGTAGTGATCAACACATATCATATATCAGTTTCGGCTTTCAGCGCTTCTCCTTAAAAAATGTAAATAAATTCTTTTCTTGTGTTAAACATTAATATTATTAACGTGTTCCTAATATTTTTTTTCTTCTCGTATTCATATTTAATTAAATATGTTACGTACAAAAATCAGAAGTTTTATCAAATATACAATATATAAATCTACTGCATCATTATTTATACTGACTTGGCTAAAGACTACCTGCAGATGCATGGAATGCATCGTAACGAAATTAAAATTTCCAAAAGTTCTCAAAAATTAATAAATATTAAGACAAATCTAATATTAGTTTGACTTTTGGTCAAAGTGATTTGAGAGGCGGCTTCTATGATATACTCTGCTCACCTGAGAGCCTTCAGTGATTATTCAAAGAGGATATGGGAACTCCTTGCGCAGCAAACTCCTTGCGTTAAGAAAATCAATTGTAGGTGTTCACGGACGTAGAGTTAGACAAGGCTCACGTTTCACTTAACACCCGACAGCGCTGTATATATGACGAGGTTGAAAACAGAGTTCATAACATTAAAGAGCGATTTTCCTTGAATCACATCCTTAAAGCCTTTACGAAGTTTCATTTATAAAATTAAATTTACGACGTGCTTGAAGCAAATTTCGGCTTTTATTGCGCATTTCGCTTCTGCTAATAAAGAGAGATGTTCAACAATGTCTCCAGGTAAATAGCTATTTTGTTATGATAAATACTAAGCGCACGTAAAATTACGTTGCATTCGCTTATCTGTTTATTTTTACACGTTTTGTGTCGATAAAGACATTTGTACATGAAAACCTTATGGTCTATTTACACTTTTCCATTAATAAATATCTCTCAATCGGAAATTATTAGAGTGCGTAAGAATTCGGCCTAATAAGGGGCCTATTAATGAGCTTGAATGTTTCAATCATGAATTATCTATATATATCTATATATTATACAAAAGGTAATACCTATACAATAAGAAAGCATAAACATTTTAATATTATCCAAATTTACAAGTTTCCGTACAAAAACATTAAAATGACGTTCCTTTTTTTTTCTTATGTGAAAAGTTGTCAAGCGAGCAGACGGTTCACCTGATATAAAGTGAATACCGCCGCCCATATACTGCCTCATCCGAGGGTTGCAGATGCGTTGACAACTTTGGAAATTGAAATTGTGCTCCGGCCACCTCACTCACCAGACGAAACGCGAAAGTATTATACTTCCACTTTACGCCGGTCTACTGTGAGGTCGTGGTACTTACCCGGACGGGTCTGCCCATTCATGCAACAGCCGAGGCTGCTGCATGGCCCTACCACCGTGATACGGTACGATATCTGTACGATATTATAAAAAAAGTACCATTTATTGTTATTGGGACAATCGCTACACTATCTCATAGATTGAGTCTTGTGATTGATACTATTAGCGCCATTTTGGTCAATAGTCATTTTATTGAAACCTTATTATGTACATTTTTCTGGACACGTTTTCATTTAAAACACTCCATAACTATTAAGACATTATGTACCTACTTTATATATCTCAATACCCAGGAAAAATGGATTAAGAAAGATTTAAATATCTCTTTAGAAATTTTATAGGTCTTTTATAAATATTCTATTAATTTTTCATACGGCCATGTTTTTTTTTCTATTAAAATTGTTCTATTTAAACTTTATGGCTACGCGAGCAACAAGATATTGTTATATATAAATTAAGAGTATCATGACGATACCGATAATAATAGAACCTTTGGTATAGTCAATAATTAAGCTTTGAGACAAACAAAGCGTTTGATATTGTGTAAATCTTTTTCGTTGAAGCATTTACGCAAAAGAGACAGACATTTCTTTATAATTTTTCATATTAAATAAACGATGTTACGCCGAACTTTGTTTAATTTTCGGAACGTTCTCGGAGTAACGCAATAGTGGAAATGTTCCAACATTGCCAGCTTCGAATGGAATTTTATTCGAACAATCCAGAAGAGTAAAGTTTCATTCCAGATCCATAAAGAGAAACGGTCTAATCCCGTTTGACACGGCAAACGGGCACTCGGCACTCACAAGGCTCGCCCGTTTAATATTGTAATAGGATTTGCCGCGCCAGTTGTGAAGGATTTCTTGCTTTATATAATACAGAACTGGCATATAAGGACGCAAATATACAAGTTATTGTATAAAAGTGCGTGTTAAATATATTTCGGTAATTTTAGAAATTACTAAAATTCAACGATGGTCAAGTACTCTTTTCTTTGTTGGTTTGAAGATAATAATTTCGTAGTTTTAATCGAGGACTACGTAAATTTAATCGGATTTGAAGCCCACAGAAGTCTACAGGTTTAAGAGAAGGTCTACAGGTGCAATATGCTTGACTCTACATTTCAATCTTTTCAAGCTTCATGCACGCACTGATTACACAATACCGTATGTTACAATATTCATAAAAATTAAATTTTGAATGAGGACTCATTTTACTTATACTTACGTAGCTACACAACGTCTATACATTTTTTTAAGATTAAAATAACGAGTCTTGTATTAGTCTGGAAGGTTTCGCAAACGTGAGCTTTAGGGACAAAAGGCCTGAATGACTACATTAATCACACACAAGCCTAGACTCGTGTAAGCATCGAACCGACAACAGCACGCAATTTCAGGTCCCTGTAACCCACTGAGCTATGTGCAGTAAAAATTTTTGGATTGCAACGCCAATATATGACGATAAGTATATCTAGTTACTGTAGCTACATACCCGGGAGTCGAGCGCTGCCAAGCAATGTGGTATACCGTACAGTTCTCTCCGTGGTGTTAGCTGCCACCAATCGTGATCCATTTCACTTGAAGTACACAGACGGACAGACACTCGTGTGAAAGTACAGATATTCAACAACAACCCACGTTACTTTCAGTTCACCGTGATCAAGTCACTCTCACTTTGGAGGTTATTGCGCAAGTGAAATTTTAATAATTACTTATTTTCCAATTTGACGCTTTCGACTTTTTAAAACATAGCTTCAACTTTTTTGTTCATATTCACCTTTCGCTACTTCGGGCTTGTAACAAATTAATTTTGATATATATATTTTTTTATTTATTGTTCACTGTAAATATCTCGAAGTGAAAATCACATAGAACTTATTTCGCGCCTAAAAGCTATATGGAAAGAAACGGCCATGTTTAAATTGTTGGCGTCTTTAATCGTATTTTATATATACTCGTGTATACCGTCATATATACAATTTTATGGTTGGTCATAGAAATTTAGCGTATAAAGTATTCATCAACCCTTTTAACAACTTTAAGCGCTCATCCCCTTTCTTCGAAAATTTATTTAAATGTTCCTCTTCGCAATCAGTGAATCTAGAAGTACATCGTCGTACGTAATCATTTTCAATATTTCAAAATTTTTCAAATTAACAAACCTATTTGTTATTTATTATTTTTAAACTATTATTCATTCTTTTTATACGCTAGGCTAATAAGTGTAATACAAATTCAAAATTATTCATTATTTAGTTAAACCCTAAATCATTAGAAAATTATTACCTATTTGGATTATGGAATTTGGGGATGTTAAAAAATCCAATAAACCTAATAATATATGCGATCTCTCTATGAGAATAATTTTAATATTGATAACTACCAATAGTACATTCGTGTCCACTCGTCCCTGACAGTCCATCGATCCACAAGTCCTCCCTCAAAGATCGATTTATGCTATTTAGAACAAAGCA